GGTATCGTTATATGTGTACTGACCAATGGTAGGTATATATATCGTATATGTGTACTGACCAATGGTAGGTATCGTTACATGTGTGTAACAGGAAATAGAATAGTGTGCTTCCACCAGGGATCAAACCCGCTATCCCTAGGTTCCTAGTCGGACGCTCTACCACTGAGCTAAAGGGATATTCCCTCTAGCACAAAGCCTAGGAGGCGACCCTTATCCTATGTACAATTAAAATCTGCTACACTATTTCCCCCTTTTTCAATGTGTTCACCCTCCCACACCACTAGCCAGATTCTAACTCCCTGTGACCACAAACAGAGCAGCAGACGCCATTTGTAATGAAAAAGAGAATGGTGTCTTTCCACCGGGGATCAAACCTGCGATCCGTAGGTTCCTAGTTGGACGCTTTACCACGGAGCTTAAGAGAAATTCCCTCTAGCTCGAAAATAGAAGGCGACCGTACTCCTACCTGTATGTACAATTAAAATCTGCCACACTACTCCCCTCGTCCTATTTTAGCTCACCTGCCCGAAGTCAAGTGAGCTTATGCCGTGGCGCAGCGTCCGTCGTTTGTCTGTCGTCCGCCGTTGTCAACTTTTTCTTTAAAACCTATCTCCTCCGAATGCCAAAGAGGATTTCAACCAAATCTGAAGCATCACTAGGGGAGGACAATCAAATAAATGAGGTTGGTTCGACCCCTGGGGCCAGAGGGACGGGGTCCTGAGCTAAATTTGCTTTAAAATGCATCTCCAACTTAACGCCAGTGAGGATTTCAACCAAATTTAGTGTGAAGCATCACTAGGGGAGGGCAATCATTTCTTAAATAAATGAGGTTGGGTTGACCCCTGAGGCCAGGGGGGTGGGGCCCTGAAGGAGAACTTAGCTAAAATTGCTTTAAAACGCATCTCCGGCTTAACGCCAGAGAGGATTTCAATCAAATTTAGTCTGAAGCATCACTAGGGGAGGGCAGTCATTTTGTTAAATAAATGAGGTTGGTTCGACCCCTGAGGCCATGGGGGCAGGGTCCTGAAGGGGAACTTAGCTAAATTTGCTTTAAANAACCGGGCCCCAAACAGGAAATTATCTAATATCTTGCTTTAAGACGCTAATACCCCCTAATTGCCTGAGTGGATTGTCCAAAATTAAGTCGAAAACTTTATTGAGGAAGAACAAACATTTCTTAATTGAATGAGGTTGATTTGACCCCTGCGGTCCTCATAAATGGTACAGCTAGATTATCATATTCTATGGTGTAATTTTCATAAATTGTTAAAAATTGGTTTCTAGTTTTATAAAAGCTTATAGTTGAATGAAAATTAAAGTATTGTCTAATTACACCCTGTAATATGACATATTTCTTATTTCAAAATCTGTTAACATGGCAACTCAATGGAGGCCCCTGATTAGTTGAAAGTCAGATATTGTGGTCCCAGTTGGGTTAGAACATAGATCTTGTCTGGTTTTGAGGAAATTTCAAATAAAGATGTACTAATGCATTCAGTTGTAATGACTTAAATATAAAACCAGGTGAGCGATACAGGTCCAATGGACCTCTTGTTTCAATGTGTGGTCGCCCTCAAACACCACAACGCAGGTTCTAACTCCCTGTCACTACAGGGAGGGCCATGGACACCATTTGTAACAGGAAAGAGAATAGTGTGCTTCCACTGGGGATTGAACCCACCATCCCTAGGTTCCTAGTCGGACGCTCTACCACTGAGCTAAAGAGAAATTCCCTCTTGCCCGAACCTAGAAGGTGACAGTAATCCTATGTACAATTAATATCTGCCACTCTATTCCCTCCGTCCTTTTTTTCAATGTGTTTGCCCTCAAACACCACAACCCAGGTTCTAACTCCCTCCCACTACAGGGAGGGCCATAGACACCATTTGTAACAGGAAAAAAAATAGAGTGCTTCCACCATGGATCAAAACCTCATGGCTCGATCCCTAGGTTCCTAGTTGGACGCTCTACCACTGAGCTAAAGGGAAATTCCTTCTAGTGCGAAGCTAGAAGGTGATTATAGTCCTATGTACAATTAAAATCTGCTTCATATGTACTGACCAATGGTATGCATCGTTACATATGTACTGACCAATGGTATGCATCGTTACATGTGTTCTGACCAGTTGTTGGCATTTTTTACTAACAAATGTTATTAACATGTAGTATTGTTGAAGGCAGGGATGTTATTGAGTGGGGACACTTATGGCAATTATGTGGATCTTGGCCTGTTTATGAACCTGTTCTCATGCTCAAGCATGAATTCTGTGCTCAAACTCTCTTTCTTGTAAGTCGCTGAAATCATGTCACATATTGTCAAAATCCTGTTGAAAACATTATTCAGTTAAAAATGTCTCCAAAAAATAAACCATGACACAAAATTGAACATTTTTTACAGTATACGTGTCACAAATGGAAACGGTGTTTGTAAAAAGGTATAATTGTCCCTCTACAGGTCGTCACCGAGGTGATCGTGGAATGTTTGACCAAGGCTGCCAAGGCAGGATACAGTACAGTCAAATTTGTGGCCCTGGGGACGGGCGCTCTAAAGTACCCCCCACAGATTGTTGCTGAATCTATGTACGGTGCTGTCCATCGATACGACGCCAAGGGGACCTCATCAGTCTTACTGGTCACTTTTGTGCTCTATTCCAGTGACCGTCGCACCATCAGTGTAAGTGATGCAGACGTTGTTGTCCATGACAAACTCAACACAGTCCCTGTACACAGCCTGTCCTTATCATAAACCTTCAGTATTGAAACATGCTCCCATATTGTCAAAACCATTCAAGCACTTTTTATTTTGCTAGAGATGTTCTTGTAATTTTCCATTTTATTGCATAATTATGAATAATTAGTCGTGCTGCAAGAATGTTAAATGCATCTGTGAAGCAAAGGTAACGCGACAGATCACTCATCATCAGTACATTTAAATGTTTACATGTATGGTATATTATAAATAATTATTTTGTTTTCCCTCAAAATTCTTCTTTTATGGTAGATAATATTTCGTCTCTTCAGACTTTCATATGTGAGATAGATAATTATTTAGTTTTCCTAAAAAAAAAGAAAGATAGGTAATACATTTGTTTCTCCTCAGAATTTCAGATGTTATTATAAATCATCGTTTAGTTTTTCCCGACATTTTACATTAAGAATATAGAATATTTTGTCTCCTCAGACTTTCATATGTAAGACAGATAATTGTTTTGTTTTCCTCAGGCTTTTGAAGATGAAGAGTACAACCAGGTGCACCCTGGGGGACAAACACGGTCTACAGGTCAGTTTATAGAGTCTGTGTTATTATCTTACACAGATATAATGGAATAATAGACTTAGCTATAAAATTCATTCTTATTCATTAGAAACAGTGTATCATGGCATTGTACAAGCTGCATACTTTTCTTTTGTTATTTTTCAATGTACTGACTTTTTGATGTAGGGCTGAAAGGACCGTTTGACACCAAACATGGGATCAAAGTCACGCTGGTCAAAGGACTAATGGACAGTCAGACCGTAAGTAACAGCCTTTATATATAATTTCTTGCCTTAATTCTTAACTGTTACATTATGTTTAACTCACCATGTGATACCTTAAACTAAATACCTGTGATAATACATTTTGTATCACTAATTAGCACCAGAAAGCATTTTCTGCTGGAACTTATCGTTTGTTATCCACTGTTCAAATGTATAGATTGAAATAGGAAGGAGTTTTGAATAGTGTAACACCGTTTTAAGCTGTGGCAATGTGACGTCATTATTCCATCCTCAATTTGGTCTAGTGTTATAGCTGTCATAGCTGTCAAACCTCCCTCATTAGGAGGGAGACTTCCTCATTTTCACTGGAATTTACCAATCTCCCTCAAAACTCTCTCATTCAACTCCAGCAAACTCAAAATCGACATCCTGTGGTCAAATGATCTCCTAGTTATTAGACCGTATCTGGTGTGTCTGAATCAAATGAACACTTTTTGGATTTATTTTGATACATAAAAAGGGAAACAAAAATTGAGCAAAGCAGTTTCAGAAGCATTTCACACTAGCTTTCTCCCTCATTGGAAATGTGGAGTGAGGGAGATCTCCGTCATTGGGGGTTGACACCTTTGCTAGTGTCAACAAATATATCTAGTTCCGCACTATGCACACTGATGTTGATACAATGTACAGAAAATGTCAACAAGGTTAAAATGGAAGTCTTTTGAACCATTAACTGTAATTAGTGTTATTTATACAAGTAAGTATTAGTCTGATGGTATATATCTCCAGGTTGATGTGATAACTTGTGTGACCTCTATGAACCTTGACATGGCCGGGGGGGTGGCCACAGCAATGTCCAAGGTTGCAGGACCTGAACTCCTACAGGCTGACTGTAAAGCCAAGTATCCATCAGGGATAGAGTTTGGAGATGTGGCCGCCATCACCAACGGCAACCTGAGGACATGTAAATCCATCTACCTGACATCTCTTCCTGGCTGGAAGAACCAGGATGGCACCAAGCGTAATGACGTTGAAAAAGTAGGTCACTTGTTCTATTGTTATAACCTACCCCATATTTGTCCTCATCCACACCAAATTTTAATATAAACCAAACCCTCTTTTGTTATAAACCACATCCTCTATTCTTTAAGACCAAACCCTGTAGTGCAATAGACAACACTTTGTGTTATAAACCACGGCCACCATGATTTTAGGCCACACCCTCAATGAGCAAAACCCACTGTTGGTATATAATCCACACCTACTATCTTTTTATAAAAAATCATCGTCTGGAATTATAAGCAACACCCACTATTGTTGTAAGTACACCCATTGTGATAAGCTCCACCCACAGTTCTAAGTAATATACACCCACTTTTGGTTAGTGACACTCACTTTTTTAGCTCTTCCGTTGTCTGTCTGCCCGTCAATCCACTTAATGAAGGTAGCAAGAAGAGACCCAATGAGGGAAAGGTGTACGTTGCTGAGAGACAGAGACAATATTTTCCCATGGTTGCTTAATTATCCTGGTGAGGGATACAGGCCCTCTGTGCCTCTTGTTTTGTAAGAAACGTCCGATGGAATTATAAGCCTGACCCATTGTTGTTGTAATTTTCACCCACTGTAGTAAACCCATCCACTTTTGAAGGATACACATACTTGTCATATGCCACACGCACTGTTTTTATAAGCTCGACTCAGTACTCACTGTTATAAGCCACACCCACTGTTACAAGTCACACTCACAGATACAAGCCTCAACCACTCTTTTACCATCCATTGTTGATATAAGCAACACCCATTGTTATAAGCCACACCCACTATTACAAGCCACACCCACTTTTGTTTTACCATCCATTGTTGGTATATGCAAAATCCACTGTTATAAGCCACACCCACTATTACAAACCACACTCACCTTTGTTTTACCATCCATTGTTGATATAAGCAACAACCATTGTTAAAAGCCACACCCACTATTACAAGCCACACCCATTTTTGTTTTACCATCCATTGTTGATATAAGCAACAACCATTTTTATAAGACACCCACTATTACAAGCCACACCTACTTTTGTTTTACCATCCATTGTTGGTATATGCAAAATCCACTGTTATAAGCCACACCCGCTATTACAAACCACACTCACCTTTGTTTTACCATCCATTGTTGATATAAGCAACAACCATTGTTATAAGCCACACCCACTATTACAAGCCACACCCATTTTTGTTTTACCATCCATTGTTGATATAAGCAACAACCATTTTTATAAGACACACCCACTATTACAAGCCACACCTACTTTTGTTTTACCATCCATTGTTAGCTCACCTAAATGACTTCTTCTGAAGAACTAAACTGTATAGAATCTTTATATTTGATTGATGGCTTCCTGAGATAGAGCCCGGCAAAGTTTAAGGATGAAAATGACCTTGACTTTCTTTCAAGGTCACATGGGTCAAATGTGTCAAACACTTCAAACGACTTCTTCTGAAGAACTGAAAAGTATAGAATCTTTATATTTGGCTGGTGGCTTCCTGGGATAGAGCACGACAAAGTTTGAAAACGAAAATGACCTTGTCCTACTTTCAAGGTCATAGGAGTCAGATTTGTCCAATGATTAAAACGGCCTCTTCTGAAGAACTGAAAGTTATAGAACCTAAACATTTGGCTTGTAGCTTTCTGGGAAAGAGCCCAACAAAGTTTGAGAATGAAAATGACCTTGACCTACTTTTAATGTCACATGAGGCAGATATGTCAAACACTTAAAATGACTTTTTCTGAAGAACTGAAAGGTATAGAACCTTAATATTTGGCTGGTAATTTCTTGGGAAGGAGCCCAACAAAGTTTGCGAATGAAAATTACCTTGACCTGCTTTTAAGGTCTCATGAGGCAGATATGTCTAACGCTTAGAACAACTTCTTCTGAAGAACTGGAAGGTATAGAACCTTAATATTTGGCTGGTTATTTCCTGAGAAAGAGCCAAACAAAGTTTCCGAATGAAAATGACCTTGACTTACTTTCAAGGTCACAGCGTTCAAATATGTCAAACTGATCAAACTACTTCTTCTGAAGAATTAAAATTCATAAAATTATAATATTTGGCTGGTGACTTCCTGGGATAGAGCTCACCAAAGTTTGCGAATGAAAATGACCTAAACCAACTTTAGAGGCCACAGAGGTCTACAACATTTTAAAGGATTTGTTCTCAAGAACTAAAAGGAATGGATTCATAAGCTTTGGCTGGTAGCATTTTGGAATAGTGCTGACCAATTTGAGAAGGAAAATGACATTGACCTACTTACAAGGTCACAGGGAAAAATATGTCAAGCAACTTCTGAAGAAGAATAAAAAAGCATAAAATCTTATAATAATATTTTGCTGGTAGTTTCAACAGATGGAGCCAGCAAAGTTTGCGAGGGGAATATTTTTAGTGCAATATAATATTTAATGAGAATATTTTGCTATGACTGCTTTAATATTCAGGTGAGTGATACAGGCCCTCTTGGGCCTCTTGTTGATATAAGCAACACCTATTGTTATAAGCCACACCCACTATTACAAGCCACACCCACTTTTGTTTTACCATCCATTGTTAGCTCACATGCCCAAAGGGCAAGTGAGCTTATGTCATGGTGCGGCGTCCGTCTGTCGTCCGTTCTCATCCATCAACTTTTCCTTTAAACAAATTCTTCTGAAGAACGGACTGGCCTAGAGTCATGATATTTGACTGAAAACTTTGTTGGTAGGAGCCCGACAAAGTTTGAGAACGAAATGACCTTGACCTACTTTCAAGGTCACAGGGGTCAAATATGTCAAAAACTTCAAACGACTTCTTCTGAAGAACTGAAAGGTATAGAATCTTCATATTTGGCTATTTGGAAAAATATGTCAAGCAACTTCTGAAGAAGAATAAAAAAACATAGAATCTTATTTTGCTGGTTGTTTCAACAGATAGAGCCAACAAAGTTTGCGAGGGAAATATTTTTAGTGCAATATAATATTTAATGACAATATTTTGCTATGACTGCTTAAATATTCAGGTGAGCGATACAGGCCCTCTTAGGCCTCTTGTTGATATAAGCAACACCCATTGTTATAAGCAACACCCACTATTACAAGCCACAACCACTTTTGTTTTACCATCCATTGTTGGTACAGTATAAGCAACATCCACTGTGATAGGCCACACCCATTTTTATTTTAAGCCATACTCTCTGTTATCATGTGTTTGACTGACTGTTTATATCAAAATTTGAAAAACCTGAACATTTTTTCACTCTTTCATTATTCCTTGTGTTGTATTTTAGAATTTTCCATTCACACAGCCAGCATCTGTTTGACTATAATTGATGGTTAAAAGAGCTTTGAGTTACAGACTACTTTTGTGATACTTCTCTTACAGTTGTTCAACAAGGCCATAACAACTTGCCTGCAGAAGGTGGCCCAGTCAGGGATGAAATCCATAGCTTTCCCCGCGATCGGAACAGGACAGATTGGGTACCCTCGCGACACAGTCGCTAAACTCATGTACGACTATGTGGTCGACTTTGCTGCAAAAAACAGAGGCACATCTCTCACTGATGTCAGGTTTGTCCTTCACCAGAAGGATCGGGAAACCATCCACGTAAGTTGTCCCCACATAATGATACAGGGTTTCCTTGTAGGGGAACTTTCTATGATGTCAGTGCAGTAACATGACCTTTAACCTGTATCATTGTCCTAACAAACATCACCTAAACAGAACAATCCAAAGTTCACAAACTTGAATTGGTTTTAATTATTAACTTTCAAACAGTTTGCATATAAATGTCTCAACCCTTAAATGGGCCAAAGATAGCTTTTAATGAGCAAAGTCTGACAGCCTCGTTGCTTCAATGGACAATTCAAGTATTAGGCAGGAAGGACAGTTCAGTCAAGCTTTAGAGAAGATTCACACAATAGAATAACAAACCATTGAAACAAGATACTAAAGATTTTATTCAAGTTTGCAGGGTATAGCCTCAACACTTAGCCTCAATCTGTATGTGGACTAGACAGCAAGCTGTAATCTTAAGGTCATTGTATACATCTCTGCAGTTTACAGGGAATTTACGGAAGATTTAAATATCTCTTTTTCAGTCATTTGAGAAAGAAGAGCAGATGAGGCTATCTCCTTCTAGGGCTTACACCAGTGGTCCTCACCGTAAGTACATACTGTATACAACATACATTACTCACATGTGAGGGGCGGAAATTACCGCTAGAGGAACATATCACTTGGCTGGACATAATTTCGTTAGCAGAAGGAACAAATAATTTGTATGCAAAGTGTAATATCCTATTAAATCCTATTAAAATCCTATTAAATAGATTTTACATGTGAAAGGACGAATATTTGACTGGTTTTACTGTATATCCTCATCACAGGTCGTGTGACCTCACAATAAGTTCATTCATATATTCCAAATATGGAAACAGCCCGGATTCCCCACTCCAAAGTATGGATACTTTTGCAAGTCATAAAGACACAAATACATCCATGCTACCAAGATTGCCTTCATAGTCAGGTCTCGCCTCTCAGCCGACCACAGGGGTTTTCTCTGGGTACTCCGGTTTCCTCCCACATGAAGACCCGGCTGCGCACTAACAACCGCACCATGTCAACAAGAGTGATTAATACAAGTTTTAAAAGCTAAATTGTTTCATAATTATTGTAAATAAATAAAGTTTATATTATACCATTTATACAATTGCTGGGCACCTGCTGATCCCAGGGGGTTTAATCCTTTTTAGGCTTATCATGTTTAAAGAACCTCGTGCAAAGGAAACAGTGTTTAAATAAAGGAATGGCCACACCCTGGTATCGGAGTAGGGGTATTTATTACATTTTAACTGTGAAATGTATGGTTTTTCGTTGAAAATAAAGTCAATATTTTTTTACAGTGCGAATAACACCTGTTGGTTTTTCACAATAAACCAAACAGGGTTTATAGTGTTGTGAAAGACATCTCTAGTAAAAACCATCAAAATATGCACCCCACTCTCAAAATATAATTGTTATTTGTCAAGAGATGAAGTCCACCTCTATTTACACAACAAATAGCCATTTGTTGTCCTTTCTCTAACATGACAGGCCCTTGTTGTCTGTCCATTGTGTACTCCTTCAAATTATTTGTACGAATTTATCCATTTCATGTAGTCGTAAATTTGCTTTGTCAAAATGTTTGTAGCCTTGGTTGTAGCCATGTTCCTTTTATTTGCAGAATGTTTCTATACAAAGGGCAACAGGCTTCGGGTGTCCATAGATACTTGCAGCATTGCTGACTTTCAGGTAAGTGTAAATTTATTTGTCTGTTGCAATTTTGTTATATATCCATCTATGATTAGACATATTATTATATGGTATGGTATTGTCTTCTTACTAGCTAGCTGGCTTGCTGACTGGCTTAGAGTCAACAATATATATTTTACAGCCCATAAATTAACATTCTTGCTGTTTCACCTATGTTGACCATGGTTGCTATACTCATGTATGTTGGGAACACATAGTGTTGTGTATGTACTGAAGCCTGGTATCATTGTATGTTGGGACCACATAGTGTTGTGTATGTATTGAAGCCCGGTATCATTGTATGTTGGGAACACATAGTGTTGAGTATGTACTGAAGCCTTGTTGAGTATCATTGTATGTTGGGAACACATACTGTTGTGTATGTACTGAAGCCCGGTATCATTGTATTTTGGGAACACATAGGGGTGTGTATGTACTGAAGCCTGGTATCATTGTATTTTGGGAACACATAGGGGTGTGTATGTACTGAAGCCTGGTATCATTGTATGTTGGGAACCCATAGTGGTGTGTATGTACTGAAGCCCAGTATCATTGTATGTTGGGAACTCATAGTGTTGTGTATGTACTGAAGCCCGGTATCATTGTATGTTGGGAACACATAGTGTAGTGTATGTACTGAAGCCTTGTTGAGTATCATTGTATGTTGGGAACACATATTGTTGTGTATGTACTGAAGCCCAGTATCATTGTATGTTGGGAACACATAGTGTTGTGTATGTACTGAAGCCTTGTTGAGTATCATTGTATGTTGGGAACACATAGTGTTGTGTATGTACTGAAGCCCGGTATCATGCCCAACTTTATACAGAGTTATGTCTCTTCACTTAATTTTGGATATTAAAGAATGTCAGTTCTTTCATTTACAGTTTTTCAAGCTTTTGTTTTGCATACTGATATAGGGTCTGGCTCGGCCCCTGTTTATACAGAGCTATAACTCAAGTCAAATTATTAACAAATTTGAAATTATACGAAGAATCCCAACCTTGTTCCCACCCATCTCACATTTACAGAGCTCACTCAGACTTGTTTTATTTTCCTGCCTGCAGAAAGCTGATGTCATAGCTGCCACAGTGTCAGATGACCTTGACCTTTCAAAGGGCGGTGCTATGGCTGCTATATCCAAAAAAGGGGGAATAACCTTAAAAGCTGAATGTGATATTAAGTATCCAAGAGGGATCAAGATTGGTGACCTTGCGGAGATTTCACCTGGAAGTTTGAGCTGCAAGGCTCTGTACCTAGGAACTCTGCCCTCCCACAGTAGCGGACCTGCAGCAGCAGAAAAGGTAACTTGGTGTTTAATTGTAATATGTCTGTACTTATACACTCAGCCCTCATTATCAGCAGAAACAGTAACTTGGTGTTTGGTTGTCATATATCGGTACTTATACACTCAGCCCTCATTATCAGCAGAAAAGATAACTTGGTGTTTAGTTGTCATATATCTGTACTTATACACTCAGCCCTTATTATCAGCAGAAACAGTAACTTGGTGTTTGGTTGTCATATATCTGTATTTTTACACTCAGCCCACATTATCAGCAGAAACAGTAACTTGGTGTTTGGTTGTCATATCTGTACTTATACACTCAGCCCTCATTATCAGCAGAAACAGTAACTTGGTGTTTAGTTGTCATATATCGGTACTTATACACTCAGCCCTCATTATCAGCAGAAACAGTAACTTGGTGTTTAGTTGTCATATATCGGTACTTATTCACTCAGCCCTTATTATCAGCAGAAACAGTAACTTGGTGTTTGGTTGTCATATAACTGTACTTATCCACTCAGCCCTCATTATCAGCAGAAACAGTAGCTTGGTGTTTGGTTGTCATATATCGGTACTTATACACTCAGCCCTCATTATCAGCACAAACAGTAACTTGGTGTTTGGTTGTCATATATCAGTACTTATACACTCAGCCCTCATTATCAGCAGAAACAGTAACTTAGTGTTTGGTTGTCATATATCTGTACTTATACGCTCAGCCCTCATTATCAGCAGAAACAGTAACTTAGTGTTTGGATGTCATATAACTGTGCTTATACACTCAGCCCTCATTATCAGCAGAAACAATAACTTGGTGTTTGGTTGTCCTATAACTGTACTTATACACTCAGCCCTCATTATCAGCACAAACAGTAACTTGTTGTTTAGTTGTCATATATCGGTACTTATGCACTCAGCCCTCATTATCAGCAGAAACAGTAACTTAGTGTTTGGATGTCATATAACTGTGCTTATACACTCAGCCCTCATTATCAGCAGAAACAATAACTTGGTGTTTGGTTGTCCTATAACTGTACTTATACACTCAGCCCTCATTATCAGCAGAAAAGATAACTTGGTGTTTAGTTGTCATATATCTGTACTTTTACACTCAGCCCTCATTATCAGCAGAAACAGTAGCTTGGTGTTTGGTTGTCATATATCGGTACTTATACAATCAGCCCTCATTATCAGCACAAACAGTAACTTGTTGTTTAGTTGTCATATATCGGTACTTATACACTCAGCCCTTATTATCAGCAGAAACAGTAACTTGGTGTTTAGTTGTCATATAACTGCACTTATACACTCAGCCCTCATTATCAGCAGAAAAGATAACTTGGTGTTTAGTTGTCATATATCTGTACTTATACACTCAGCCCTCATTATCAGCAGAAACAGTAACTTAGTGTTTGGTTGTCATATAACTGTGCTTATACACTCAGCCCTCATTATCAGCAGAAACAGTAACTTGGTGTTTAGTTGTCATATATCGGTACTTATACACTCAGCCCTCATTATCAGCAGAAACAGTAACTTGGTGTTTGGTTGTCATATATCTGTACTTATACGCTCAGCCCTCATTATCAGCAGAAACAGTAACTTGGTGTTTGGTTGTCCTATAACTGTACTTATACACTCAGCCCTCATTATCAGCACAAACAGTAACTTGTTGTTTAGTTGTCATATATCGGTACTTTTACGCTCAGCCCTCATTATCAGCAGAAACAGCAACTTGGTGTTTAGTTGTCATATAACTGTACTTATACACTCAGCCCTCATTATCAGCACAAACAGTAACTTGTTGTTTAGTTGTCATATATCGGTACTTATACAGTCAGCCCTCATTATCAGCAGAAACAGTTACTTGGTGCTTACTTGTCATATATCGGTACTTATACACTCAGCCCTCATTATCAGCCGAAACAGTAACTTGGTATTTAGTTGTCATATATCGGTACTTTTACACTCAGCCCTCATTATCAGCAGAAACAGCAACTTGGTGTTTAGTTGTCATATAACTTTGCTTATACACTACTTGGTGTTTAGTTGTCATATATCGGTACTTATACACTCAGCCCTCATTATCAGCCGAAACAGTAACTTGGTATTTAGTTGTCATATATCGGTACTTTTACACTCAGCCCTCATTATCAGCAGAAATAGTATCTTGGTGTTTAGTTGTCATATATCTGTTCTTATACACTCAGCCCTCATTATCAGTAGAAACAGTAACTTGGTTTTTGGTTGTCATATATCAGTACTTATACACTCAGCCCTCATTATCAGTAGAAACAGTAACTTGGTTTTTGGTTGTCATATATCAGTACTTATACACTCAGCCCTCATTATCAGCAGAAACAGTAACTTGGTGTTTAGTTGTCATATAACTTTGCTTATACACTCAGCCCTCATTATCAGCAGAAACAGTAACTTGGTATTTAGTTGTCATATATCGGTACTTTTACACTCAGCCCTCATTATCAGCAGAAACAGTAACTTGGTGTTTGGTTGTCATATAACTGTACTTATACACTCAGCCCTCATTATCAGCAGAAACAGTAGCTTGGTGTTTGGTTGTCATATATCGGTACTTATACACTCAGCCTTCATTATCAGCAGAAACAGTAACTTGGTGTTTGGTTGTCATATATGGGTACTTATAACCAAACCTGTACTTCAAAAATATTAACAGAACCAAGGGATTAAAACTGTTTCATGCAGGTTTATTCCTGGAGTTGTTGTAACATGGTTTTTCAAAGAAACCTTTTTGATATCCCTGCTCACACATATCAGAACACCCAGGTGGAGTATAAAGTGGTCTGAGTAGGGTGCTACAATGTGTGTGCTGTAGCATGCAAGCTTAGTGTGGCACTTACACACAACCCAACCTCGAAACTAAACACAAACACATCACCTGCACACTGTCAGGCACACACACATGTGGAGGTATTTAGCCAAGTGGCATATCTTTCTTTCTTTTGCTGTAATATACACTGTTGTATATGACTAATAGTAAGTGCTTGATAAGCCATCTCAGGCACTATACCAAGTATTGTATCTTAATTATGATAACAGAGTACACTAGATTTTGTATGTATTTCCTGTAAGCTTTATTTTTCTGTGTTAATTTGCATAAGGTCTTAAACTGTAAGTTCTATTATCTGCAATTATTTAGTCTCAAGAATTTATACCAAAACTTATTATACACATAGTGTGTAAGATAATTCTGTTTGTATACAATGTACAAAAATGGACTTCACTGTTGTTGCAACTAATATATCTATTTCAGGAAATTCGGGAAAAATTTGTTACGACCTTCACCCTTAATTTTTGATACATTTGTAGGCCCTGGATAAGTATATACAGAAAGTGCTGGACACAGCATCATCAAAAGGTTACACATCCGTAGCGTTTCCCGCTGTAGGGACAGGGTTTAATAACTACCCACACTCCCGGGCTGCAACACTGTGCTACGAGGCTGTTCAGCATTTTGACAAGAAACCAAGTTCAATCAAGACCGTGTACTTTGTCATCCTGCAGAAAGATGCCCAGTCATTAAATGTAGGTGCTAAATTGAAAAAATTCTGTAGAAAACTAAATTACTGTGTAGAGAGTTAAATTACTGTTGTATGCAGAACTAAGTAACCATTGTGTAAAGAACTAAATTACAAATTCTGTACCAATATAAATAGACTTAAAGTACTGTTATATAAAGAACTGGATTCCCATTCTACTATGATCCTGTCCAGTCTGTTTTCTTAAGCTACCAAAATCCAACTGGATGATTTAACTATTCACAGGTTTTTGAATCAAAGCATTAAAGATAATTTGAAATTGATATTAGTTTTTGAAAGATTGATGACCGTTCAGATGTCATGTAACAATGGGTTGTGTTTTATCACCAATCAATGTCCTCCACAGGCCTTTCAAAGAGAAGAAAGAAAGAGAAACCGTCTCCCCTTTGGTGGGCCATCTCCTGGCTCTGAATTAGGGGCCGTAGGCGGGGTTGCCAGAAGGGGAACATTCAGGAGGGTTTTCTCTAAAAAGGATGAAGAAGTATCATTGAGACCAAGGAGACGTCCAACGAGAACCAACGAACTGGGCTTTTTAGGCCGTCGGTCAGATAAACTTGGCTCTTATCAAGATCATCCAGTTACACTCGCCTCAGGTGCAGGCTGTATGTCTATACAAGGTGGCAAAACTAATCGTACGTATTGCTATATTATACACCAAATGTGGAATAGGAGCACTTGTTATGAACCTGTGTGTAAATTTCTATGAAATGATTTCGTCTGTTTACTAAGAAAGTTAACAAAGGCAACATAGCAGGTCAGTCATTTAATGTCAGTAATCTTGGTCAACAATTCAATGGGTACCAACACCTTAGGAAATAGTTTTAAACTGTTGACTGAGAGGGCATGAAACCACTTTATGTTTTCTGTACTCATGTAATTATAACATACTGTATGAGAGTCATAAACGATATTACTAGCACCACTCAAAATTGTCTTTTCTCTACATCCTTTATATACCCTTAAATTTCAATAATACTGCCTGACTTGCAAATAAGCCTGGGATTCTTTGCAGTTAAACTTACCTCGAGATAAGTTCATTAGAAAAATATGCCTCGGCTTCATTGCAGGCAATATGCAGTCAATAGAGGACCTTGCAAATTGGTAATGTTTTTGTAAAAGCCCTTGAAAATATATATAACAACGTAATTGATGTACCCCAACTTTAAGGGGAATGAGTTAAAAGACTTCAGAAGTAAGATAGCCTTGAAAATAAGTCTGTACACGCCCTACAGCCTGAAATTCCTTACTGAAAATGAAAATAAGCCCAAGTTTATTTTCATGATTTTGGGGTATGAGTTTATTTACTAATTTTGTTTTCTGTTTTCCTGTTGTGTATATTAGCATGAAATGATGGTGTGCAATTTCAAAGTTGCTTTGACATATTTATAATCAACTTCAAACCGAGGTTTAATGCGAGTATTTTAGATCCGAATTGATGTATATGGTTGATATGTTTCAGAGTTTGTGTATGGGAAGGTCACCCTCCAGGTCAATGTGGAGAATATCGTAAAGCTTAAGGACCGTGTAGAGGTCATTGTTAATAGTACCAACAAGGACCTAGACTTCACTAAAGGTATATCGTAGTAATACCATGGTGAAGTGGTCACTGACCTCACAATGTCAGCATTTCAGTTTCATGACAGATCATTTTGATTTAATAAAAATTAATCTAATTAATTCTTTGTTAAATTTGTTAAGGAGGCATCAAATGTTTGTAAAAAAATGAAGATTTTTAATAAATTAATAAAATAACTGTAATTTATAAACCATATATCTCATCCTACACAAATAAATTATTGGTACATTCATTCTCTTGCTTCCATTTTCTGTAGTGGGCATGCCAACATTTAGTTAATATAATGTATTTCTGTTGACCTTAAGGTGCTGTGTCTAAAGAAATAGTAAAGATGTGTGATCCAAAACAACTTAGTGATGAATGTGAAAAACTGAGTAAGTTATAGTTCTGTGGGGTTGAATTCTGATCATCTTCAGTTTATTTATTTTCCTTAGCTGTAAATACATGCATACATGTTGCTATATTTTAGATGACCCTTTGAAATCTTTTCATGAAATTTTGATGAGTCTAAACCCTATATGATTTTGAGATGACCCCTTAGCTTGATCAATTTTGAGATGATCATTTCATAATATTATATTTTGAGATGACCCCTTGGCATGATAGTTGAGGTGATCTATTTCATATGATGATCTTTCTAAATGATCCACATTGTATCCAAAGATTTTTAGATGACCAACTTCCTAAAATAAACTTTTTAAGATAAGACCTTTGAAATTTCAATACTTTGCAATGACCCCTTGCCCCTCCCCTTTGGCCTTCATACGTTTTGAAATGACCTCCTCCATATGCTATTTGAAACTGTTTGTCCCCTCAGAGCCAGAGATGAAGAGAAAGGGAATGATATATACAAGTGGGTGTGGACTATCCTGTACGGCTATCCTCCATATTGACGCCCAGAGCTCCCTCAGAAGCTGGAAGAATACGATACTGGCTTGTCTTCAGGAAGCTGACAGGCATGGCCACACCTCTATTGCCTTCCCTGCTCTTGGCACAGGTATACAAGATATGAAATATCACCTTCTAGGAATGTGTATATATGTAGGTGGCAGGTGTATGTAAATATATATCTGTATGTAAGAATTTGGATCAGGTACATTGATAACAGCTTTACAAGGTACTTGGCACAGGTGTACAAGGTATAGAGCGCCTTCTGTCAGTACAGAGGTCAGAAAGTAAGTACTTTACATTGGAGCTGCAGAAATCCAGCCACGATTGTTCTCAGTTAAAGTGGGTGAAGTTTTAGGAGAAATGGATTGTTAAGACGATTTTGTATAGAGGATTTTGTCACCTACAAAGCTAACATAATAATGCTGGTTGTTACTGACAACTGGATTAGTGTTGGCTGGATTAATAAGATTGGATAATAGAACAATACGATTAGATGGGCTGGTTGAATGAGGTCCCCTACTCTACTTTTCGAGGCAAGTCTTGTCAATTCCAAATCATGATACATAAACAGACAAGTCACTTTAATCCTGAATCACTTGGAATTTAGTTGTTGTGTTGTGCTATCATTAGTGAACACATAACTAAAAGTATTACATAACACAACTTTCTAATGGACACATTGTCACATGACCTAATCTGTTGTTTAGTCCAATCATCTGTGGACATATTGTCACATGACCTAATCTGTTGTTTTGTCCAATCATCTGTGGACACATTGTCACATGACTTAATCTGTTGTTTAGTCCAATCATCTGTGGACATATTGTCACATGACCTAATCTGTTGTTTTGTCCAATCATCTGTGGAGACATTATCACATGACCTAATCTATTGTTTAGTCCAATCATCTATGGACACATTGTCACATGACATAATCTGTTGTTTAGGCCAGTCATCTGTGGACACATTATCACATGACCTAATCTGTTGTTTTGTCCAATCATCTGTGGACACATTATCACATGACCTAATCTGTTGTATTTTCCAATCATAGGTAGTCACTTTTCTCACATGAGCCATGTCGTCATGTGACCCATGGCTGTTGTGAAGATGTAATACGTCAAATAATCAATCACAGATACTTAAGTTTGTAAATTTGTAGCTGAACCTTATTTGTGAATGATTTCAATGGAATGAATCGCTGGTAAACTGAAGCTTACATGTTTGGTAGGTTTGTTGAGAGATATTCATAACTGCCAGTAATCCTCCTAACTTTATCAGAAAAAGATCTCATCTTTTTTTTTAGCTGGAGAAAGTGTTCAATTCAAACCAGAAGAGATTGCAGAGACACTGCATGAATCACTGCAACAATTCTCTGGTTCCAAACTCACTCTTGTGCGACTTGTTATCTTTGAACAAAAGATGCTATGGGGTATGCAAAAGGTGTTCCGAGACAACATCCAGAAACCTAGCACCTCAGGTGAGTTTCTACAACAACTAAGGGTTACCTAGCACCTCAGGTGAGTTTTTACAACAACTAAGGGTTACCTAGCACCTCAGGTGTGTTTTTACAACAACTAAGGGTTACCTAGCACCTCAGGTGGGTTTCTACAACAACTAAGGGCAACTTAGCACCTCAGGTTAGTTTTTACAACAACTAAGGGTTACCTAGCACCTCAGGTGTGTTTCTACAACAAATAAGGGTAACCTAGCACCTCAGATGGGTTTCTACAACAACTAAGGGTAACCTAGCACCTCATGTGTGTTTCTACAACAACTAAAGGTTACCTAACACCTCAGGTGTGTTTCTACAACAACTAAGGGCAACTTAGCACCTCAGGTGAGGTTTTACAACAACTAAGGGTTACCTAGCACCTCAGGTGGGTTTCTACAACAACTAAGGGTTACCTAGCACCTCAGATGGGTTTCTACAACAACTAAGGGTAACCTAGCACCTGAGGTGTGTTTCTACAACAACTAAGGGTTACCTAGCACCTCAGCTGTGTTTTTACAACAACTAAGGGTTACCTAGCACCTCAGGTGTGTTTTTACAACAACTAAGGGTTACCTAGCACCTCAGGTGGGTTTTTACAACAACTAAGGGTTACCTAGCACCTCAGGTGAGTTTCTACACCAACTAAGGGCAACTTAGCACCTCAGGTGTGTTTCTACAACAACTAAGGGTAACCTAGCACCTGAGGTGTGTTTCTACAACAACTAAGGGTTACCTAGCCCCTCAGGTGAGTTTCTACAACAACTAAGGGTAACCTGGCACCTCAGATGGGTTTATACCACAACTAAGGGTAACCTAGCACCTCAGGTGTGTTTCTACAACAACTAAAGGTTACCTCACACCTCAGGTGGGTTTCTACAACAACTAAGGGCAACTTAGCACCTCAGGGGTGTTTCTACAACAGCTAAGGGTTACCTAGCACCTCAGGTGTGTTTCTACAACAACTAAGGGCAACTTAGCACCTCAGGGGTGTTTCTACAACAGCTAAGGGTTACCTAGCACCTCAGGTGTGTTTCTACAACAACTTAGGGTTACCTAGCACCTCAGGTGGGTTTCTACAACAACTAAAGGTTACCTAACACCTCAGGTGGGTTTCTACAACAACTAAGGGCAACTTAGCACCTCAGGTGAGTTTTTACAACAACTAAGGGTTACCTAGCACCTCAGGTGAGTTTCTACAACAACTAAGGGCAACTTAGCACCTCAGGTGTGTTTCTACAACAGCTAAGGGTTACCTAGCACCTCAGGTGTGTTTCTACAACAACTAAGGGTAACCTAGCACCTCAGATGGGTTTCTACAACAACTAAGGGTAACCTAGCACCTCATGTATGTTTCTACAACAACTAAGGGTTACCTAGCACCTCAGGTGAGTTTCTACAACAACTAAGGGCAACTTAGCACCTCAGGTGTGTTTCTACACCAGCTAAGGGTTACCTAGCACCTCAGGTGTGTTTTTACAACAACTAAGGGTTACCTAGCACCTCAGTTGAGTTTCTACAACAACTAAGGGTACCATAGCACCTCAGGTGTGTTTCTACAACCACTTAGGGTTACCTAGCTCCTCAGGTGGGTTTCTACAACAACTTAGGGTTACCTAGCACCTCAGGTGGGTTTCTACAACAACTAAGGGTAACCTAGCACCTCAGGTGTGTTTCTACAACAACTTAGGGTTACCTAGCACCTCAGGTGGGTTTCTACAACAACTAAGGATAACCTAGCACCTCAAGTGGGTTTCTACAACAACTAAGGGTTACCAAGCACCTCAGTTGGGTTTCTACAACAACTAAGGGTAACCTAGCACCTCAGGTGAGTTTCCACAACAACTAAGGGTAACCTAGCACTTCAGGTGGGTTTCTACAACAACTAAGGATAACCTAGCACCTCAGGTGTGTTTCTACAACAACTAAGGGTTACCTAGCACCTCAGGTGGGTTTCTACAACAACTAAGGGTAACCTAGCACCTCAGGTGGGTTTCTACAACAACTAAGGGTAACCTAGCACCTCAGGTGGGTTTCTATACAACAACAATTACACATTGATTATAAAGCTAGAATAGAGTAGGCTGAAAGTATTACAATGGCATATCTTATATCATTCTTTCTGTAAATCAAAACATTTCCTTCTATATTATAAAGTTGCTGAGGACTACAATGTCGTCCCAGGGAGTAGGGCCACTCCAGTTGCTGATGTGTCCCGTGTTTCACTATGGATACTTGGCACCAGTGATTACAACATTGATGATGCTATAGCCAGTATTAAAAATTTAGTTGACAGAAAATATACAGTCAAAACCAATGCCGACACATTGGTTTGTCAGCTGAAAGACTATGAGGTATGTCCAATGATATTTTGTATTTAAAAAAATGTTAGTTTTGGTCACTGATGAATGTTGTGCATATGTGTTGTTCTGACATCTGTTTGTCCTTTTGTCATTTGTTTTAACTTTTTCTAATATTTCATTTCTCGAAAGGACTTGACTAAACTTTCTCAAACTAGAAACAAACCATGAAAAGCATTTCAATTATGTTTATATGAACCGTTTGTTATTTGTTGTTTGATTGGTTTAACATCTGCTTCACTACCAAGTAGTTCGGTTATCCAGCAGACGACTTGTATGAACCATCTAGATCAGCCTTATATAAGCCCAATACATCCTCAAGAACTGTTTATTTTATTTGAAACAACTTTGTCACAAATTATTAAAAAAAAAAACACCGAATACCTGTGAGCTAATATGATGGTACAGCATTGATTCCTGTTGATTATTTGTAATACCATATCAAAATGACAATTTCCATTGTTAATGAAATATTCATATGTTTTACCTGTTAATGTTTCTGCTATACAGGTGAAAGAGATAGAGAAGTTGAGCAAAAGGTTTCTGGTTGAGATAAAGGTAAATAAACAGGCAAGAGTCGTAGAGATGGACGGGCCATTGGAGGAAGTGAACAATGTCTCACAGGAGGTTCACAGACTCTTTAGTCACTTCCAGATGGAGAGACACAAGGATGCTGAGGCAGAATTTATTAAGGAACAAGTGCAGTGGTTTTATACGGTATGATAGAATGATTTCTTACTTAAATAGTAACAAACACAATGTGTCAAAATCAGATACCAAATATGTGTGTGTCTAAACCAGGGTGTAAGATCATGGATATCCAAATAAGGATATGGGTGTCCAAATAAGGATAATAAGGATATGGGTGTCCAAATAAGGATAACAAGGATATGGGTGTCCAAATAAGGATATGGGTGTCCAAATAAGGATAATAAGGATATGGGTGTCCAAATAAGGATAATAAGGATCTGGGTGTCCAAATAAGATTATCAATAAGAATAATAAGGATATGGATGTCCAAATAAGGATAATAAGGATATGGGTGTCCAAATAAGGATAATAAGGATATGGGTGTCTAAGTAAGATTATCAATAATAATATTATCAAGAAGGACATGGGTGTCCAAATAAGATTATCAATAAGGATAATATGGATATGGGTGTCCAAATAAGATATCAAAAAGGACATGAGTGTCCAAATAAGATTATGGGTGTCCAAATAAGATTATCAAGAAAGACATTAGTGTCCAAATAAGATTATCAATAAGGATAATAAGGATGTGGGTGTCTAAATAAGGACATTATGTACATCTGTCAGAATGTAGGTTTATATATCTAAACCTATGGACATGTCTCTTTGGAAACTGTCTGTCAGGTTTTTATGGAACTTTGAAGTAATCACCAGAATATGTAGGGCATCAGAATCTATATTCAAGAAGAACATGAACCCAATACCAGGGGGCTGAGGAGAAGGGAGCATAAGTGGTCACAGAGTGCAAAATGTTAAAATGGCAGCACTTTTTAAGCTAACTGGTAGATTTTCAGTAATATTCCATAAAATGTGTGGATCAAAATCTATACTGAGAAAGGGGCCTACCCCTCCCCTCTAACAAAGTCTTCTTTGGTCGTTATGCCCACATTGATTGACTCTTGCCCCACTGAGGCTTTATGAAGAATAAGTTCCTACACTGCACTACATGAATCATTTATAGTTATATTCTGGTGACCATTAAGGCCCATACAACTCTTGTAAAATATGATAACTTGAAATTGATGACTATCTTACTCTTACATGTATGTGTATTATTATGTATGTAACAGATTTGACCTATTATTAGCTCACCAGGTCCGAAGGACCAAGGTGAGCTTATGCCATACTGTGGCGTCCGTCGTCCGTCTGTCCGTCAACAATTTCTTTAAACGACTTCTTCTTCTTAACCACTGATTGGAATTTAACTAAATTTGACTGGAAGCATCCCTAGGTGGTAGGGATTCAAAATTGTACAAATGGTGTGGCTGATTCCCCAGGGGGCTGAGGGGCGGTGCCAAAAAGGGTTATTTGGCCATATTGCTTTAAGCGACTTCTTCTCTGGAACTAAGAGATGGATATCAACCATATTTGACTGGAAGCATCCCTAGGTGGTGGAGATTCAAAATTGTACAAATGGTTGGGCTGAACCCCCAGGGGGCTGAGAGGCGGGGCCAAAAGGGGGCAATTACGCTATATTGCTACAAACGACTTCTGTAGAACTATGCACTGGATATCAATCATATTTAATCAAAAGCATTAATGGGAGGCAGGGATTCAAAATTGTACAAATGGTGTGGCTGATTCCCCAGGGGGCTGAGGGGTGGTGCCAAAAAGGGTTATTTGGCTATATTGCTTTAAGTGACTTCTTCTCTGGAACTAAGAGATGGATATCAACCATATCTGACTGGAAGCATGCCTAGGTGGTGGAGATTCAAAATTGTACAAATGGTTGGGCTGACCCCCGGGCTAAGGGGTGGGGCCAAAAAAAGGGTATTACTTGGAAATGGTTGAGATCCCCACCATATAACCAGATATACAATTGCTGAGTATAAAGAGAAGAATGCACATTTGCTTCCAGGATGGCCCTAGGGTCTGGCCCCAACCTTGGAGACATAGTCCCTGGGCCATAACTTTAAAACGGTTAGATCCCCACCCCAAAACTATATATACAAATGCTGGGCATAAAGAGATGAATGCAGTCATGATATCAGAATAGACCCTGGGGTCTGACCGAACCCCTAGGGACCTAGTTTCTTAGTCACAGCTTGGAAACAGTTGAGAGCCCCACCCTATAACCATATATACAATTGCTGAATATAAAGAGATGAATGCACATTTTGCGGTTTATGTGAATAAATATCTAAAAATATTAACCTCACTAGTACCTTGTCTTAGTTGGAACATAGATGAACTTATTTTGTTATGATATTGGGCATGTATCGGAGAGAGTTTACTTAGCGTTTCTATATACAAGGAAGGGATAAGTGACTGGTTAGTTTGATTTTGCTATGGGGCCCTCCAAGGGATAACTGTTGTGTGATGTTGTAAAGTACCTCTGTCCGCACTCTGGGTCACATGAGATACGTGCGCTATTAGATTTACATAATTTATAATATTCCGTTCTGCAAAACGGTATGATTTAATCATATTGTTGGAATAAACATTTTTTTTTTATCCACATGCAAAATTTAGATCTATATCAAATTGACGGTTCAAGATGAATAACTGAGGAAGGGGAACCTGTCTGTGCTTATACTAAATAGGATTGCATAACAAAATACTTTTTTAATCGTAATGTTTCAATAGTTCAAGTTTTCACATGATGTTGATTTAGCATGTATGATCATGCAACAACTTTTGTCTATAAATAATTTATTTTCGACTTCAGATAGAATCGGAATACGCATTGAAAGCAGGGGGAAAAACATTTGTTTAGTTGTAAAAATGGCGCTTGCTACCAATACTATGGCTTCTGTTTCGGACAAAAGGAACTGATTAAAGAAAAGTTATCTCAACATGAAAAGGGTCCATTTATAAGTATGATTAAATCTCTGTAAAGTATTAAAAACATGTAATTATCAAGTATCTCAACACGTTCCATATCTGACACATATTCTACACGTAGTGGTTTTGCCAGAAATGTTTATTGTGTATGATCAATGGCTAATATGACTTACTAAGTGTTAACATATGAAGATAGTGAAAGTGGGAAAGAGAGTATATATGTATGGTCTTAAAGGAAGTGGCCAAAGACATTGAGTTGTAATAAAAAAAAAATACAAACATTGGTCAATGCATATGTATGTATATACTTTATGAAAACATTTAAAAAAGGATATTCATCTTGTGAATATTCCTTTGTACAGAAAGTGTTAAGCTCGTACCCATTTGTACTGGTCACATTCCGATATTAGATATTTTCTGGTGTCTATAAATGATGATGAGATACCAAAAAATTTTTTTTCATTTAAATTTTGAATGTTGGCATGTGTGCAATTAACTTTTGATGATGAATAATTACTGCTAAGGGGATTCAATAAGTTTCAACACAGACTTAGAAATCATATTCATTGGTTTCATAGTGTGGTAAAGAAGTTGCAGTTTCCTGACGGCCCCTCTCTGGGGCCCCTTCGGAAACTTTGCATCTCGGACAGGCCACCTGTGTTGACTGCCTCGTTTCAAAACCGCCACCTGACTATATTGGTGCTATTATTAAAAGGGCTTTCCCAAACAATTCAAGTGGTCAAACTGGACATTTGGAACGGACTATGAATATGGGGATAGCGAGGTAACATAAGTGGAAGTGCATACAACACATACATTCATTAAAAAAAATATGGCTCTTCACGTGATGTTGTTTAAAAATCTTGACTTACAGGAGATAGACAGCCAGGGAGTACTTCAGCTTTCTGAATATCCTCCCCGAACTAACATGGAATTAGAAAACTCCAGGAAAGGCAACCACCCTACATATAAGTTTAGGGCAAATGATCAAGAATACGTGGTTAATTTATTAACCATGAAGGAATATGCAAAAGATGACCCCACTGACACTGCTGATGTGGTACGCAGAGAAAAACAAGAAGGTTAGTCTATGTTATAATTTTAACTGAGTTGATTTAGATTTCACACTTTTTTCAGTCAATATATTTTAAAAAATGATATCTTTTGTGACATCATAAATATTTTCATCATCAAATGGTGGGCTATTTAAATCACCCTCCGTCTGTCATTCCGTCATTTTCTCCATCCTTAAACAATTCTTATTAGCGCTATATCTCAGTAAGTACAAGAGATATCTTGCTCAAACTTCACATGAAGGTTACCAATGTTCCCTTGTTATGCGTATTGGGACTGATCTGAAAACCAGGATTGCAGACAGACGCATTTTGAATGATTAGAGTTGAAGCTTGTTAGGGCCATTTCTCAGAAAGAAAAAAGGGATCTTTCTCAAATTTCACATGAAGGTTCCCCATGGTCCCTTGTTATGCATATAGAATTTTAAGACTGATCAGAAAACAAGATGGCTGACAAGCGCCATTTTGAATTGTGCTATTTCTTAGAAACTAGCGGTTTGGCCACTACAATAATACAGTGTACTTTAAATTAGATTGTCTTGCCTGAGTTTGCTTAATATCCAGGTGAACAATACAGGCACTCTGGACCTCTTGTTTTCTCAGGGCAGTAATGGAATGTCATTGAACTATCGACAATTGTTAACATAAACTTGATGAGTGAGCTAAAGCTGAAGGTCAAATACATTGCCTCCAAGGTGTATGTGAAAGAATTGTCAGTATGACCTTTGTACCTATGACCCCATAATGTCTTGACTTATTACAGGTGGCAGGTTTGAGCTCCCAGCTGACTGGAATGAAATGGTAGACCCAAAAGAGATTGTCAGGGTCATTCCATTGGCTGCTTCCTCAAAGACGTACCAGGACACTGAGACGTTGTTCAAAAATTCTGTGTTGAAGGGTTTCTATTCCAGCCAGTTTCCTGCAACAAAGCTGATAGTTCATAAGGTGACTTATTATTATGTATTAGTAGCATGTACTTGTTTAGTATACCTCCAATGACAATCAAATATTGTGAATGGCTGAATGCAGTCACATGACCCTTTTATATGATGGTGTTCAGGCTGCAAGTAAAAGTGGTCATTATCTCAATTTTGTAAATATTTATGAATTTTCTAGATACTCACAGTGAAAAATCCAAAGCGAGGCTTACTGCTATGATGATGTTAAATTGTCATTTGTTAATATCTTGTGTAATAGTGAAAATCAACAGCTGCTGATGTGAATTAACTATGTCATGCTAAAAGAGACTTCAGTATGCTTTTCAAATCTTGTTGGTAAAAAAAATGTTAAGTATTTTAAATTTAATATGGTGAAAAATGTGACCCTCAATATTCTATACTTTATAACCTGACCCTGGCCTTAGTTGCTAATAGTTCAGTCAGGCCATCTCAAATAGTTTTAAGATCTTTATGTTACAATATTAACTCGTACTGAAATAATTGACTGTAAAAATCATCCCCAGTTTATCCAGATTAGCTTTGTAAGATATATGCAATACCGTTTCACCTTGACACTTATCTAATTGTCAACATTTTAAAACAACATATGCAATGACCAGAGGTCAATGTCACCAGATCTCTTGAATAAGTTACAAATATATATTTCGGTACTGTTTATTTCTCCAGAGTGGCCCAATGTATTTTACAAACTTTTTCTTGTTACATACTGGTATTTAAAATAATGATATTTTATTAAAAATTGAATTTAAAAAAGAACTGATTTATGTACATGGTAATCAAGCCTGACTGATGTTAAGTAGAAAGTAAAATGTTAATTACGTGTTGGGACTTACATCGATTCAATAAAGTCATAAACAGACAATGAAATATATCAAGGTGATATTTTTCTACAGGTTAGGATTGTTCGGGAGTAAACAGACAATGACATTTACTGACAAATAAAATCAAATGATAATTGTTTTTGAAATTCCAACCCGTCATGGTTTGGAGTGAAGAGAGAATGTTTTGTTATTGATAGATTGAGAGGGTCCAGAATCGGTCTCTGTTTCAACAATACTCAATGAAGAAAAGCTTACTGGAACAGAAAAACCCGCCAGGCACCACCAATGAACAGTTGTTGTGGCACGGGACAGGCACAGCCGCAATCACCAGCATCAACTACTACGGCTTCAACCGCAGTTACTGTGGTGGTGACCTTAAAAAGGGTTAGTAATTATAAATCATTAACTTATTTTTAATTTAATCACTTAATTTTACAGATTCTCAGTCTAACATACCAGTATAGCCCAAGTCAAAATAAAGCCAGAATTTAGTTGGGTCCAAGCAGGAATTTTTCTGAACTTACATTTTAATTTTATTATATTGTTTTATTATTTCAAATTTATAAGTTCCATATATAATATATGTTGGTTACTTCCCAGCATCCTTCCGACATGGAATGCATTATAAATGCCAAAAAGACATATTTTGATTAGATTACGTGTACTATTTCTTTTTGTCACATCACAACAAGAAACATCAATTAATGTATTACTACGCGGGTGATTGCTGAGGCCTGTTGTTTACCGAATTAAAATTGTTCAAAATTGCTTTTTTTTTCTTTTATCAAAGGATTGTTATAATAAATGATGTAATTTGATAGCTACTGTAATATCTGTTTAGGCCTTCAGAGAAAATGATGCTCTACCGGTGCATATTTCAAGATTGAAGATTTAGGCCCATTTTTTAAGGCGTATTATTGTGTAATTGAGATGTTTGACTAAGGAATCCAAGACTATTTTCAACACCAGCCTATAATAATATCATGAGTTCAGGGTATTTTCTCAAGATATTGTCATATTATATGGTTTTGACATTACAAAATTGATAATGGATAATATTCAGGCAGTATTGATAATATTCAGGCAGTATTGATGGGCATTTTGTTGTATGTATCTTGGTTTATGGTCCAATTCTTTGTAGAAGAACTGGACTGGGCCGAGCGTTGACAACCAGGTAGTTCAATTGGTAGAGTGTCCGTCTGACCGTGCATTTTTCCGCTATTACAACTCAAATGTACCACAGTTTATTTGTAAGTGCTGCTGTCCAATACCAAGAGTGGTTCATGTCATTGTATTTACAGGCGCCTGCTGGTATGGAGCTGGGGTGTACTTCGCCGATGATGCCTCTTACTCTGCCAGAGATTGGTTGTCTGGATCGGGGCCAGCCAATCAGAAGAGGAATGTGTACTTATGCAAAGTTCTAACTGGGGTCAGTTGTCCAGCAGCCAAAAATATGAAATATCTTCCAGCGTTACCAAACAACCCTGGACAAAACTATGACTCTGCTGTACAGCCTCAGAACAAACTCAAAGAATATATTATATTTAATGACACCCAGGCTTACCCAGAATTTCTCATCAATTTTTCCGCAACTTAGAGAGGTTGGACTTAACCAAAGTACATAAAGTACTTAAATCTAACTTTTAGGAACCAACCGATCATGGATTATATTACAATTGTAGTTGGATATTTTGTAAATCATTGGTGCAACTTGAAAATGAATGTTGAGTATTGTGAACATTGAGATTACAATATTTCTGTTTCCGGTTGCTGAACTGACTGTGATTTTAAACAACAATAATATTACGAAAATGATTACATTTATATCCCTAAGCAAAGTATACATTTTGTTAACTTCATTTTGAATTTATATTTTCTGTTTATTTCAAATATAAATATTGTCTGCTTATATCATTTCATGTACATATATTTTCTGTTTACTAGATTTCATATACATGATGATTGTTAAATTGTTAGCTAATGCTTGAATTCTGTGTTTATGATAAACTGCAGTGGAGCTATGTTAATGTGCAAAAAGGTGTGTATCGATCATGTGTCTTTTAATTGGATTGGGTCAATTACAAGCAACAGGGTAGTTCAATTAGTTAGGGCCTCCATCTACCAGGTATACATTTGCCAACCTTTATAAATTTCTGTGGGGGAGATTTAGCGTGCTAAAAATTAAAAACATAATCAAAATGTGTGTATATACCCCCTAGACACAAAATAATTCTTTAAAAGACATATTTTGAGTCATAGTTTCATATGAAATTATTAGATTTTAGAATATAGGAATAGTTAAGCAAATTCAAAGGTAGGAAATACTAAATTCAGGGGTTCAAAATCGGGAGTCTCCCTCCTAAATAGGGAGAGTTGGCAAGTATGCATCTAGGATTTGAAGGTTCTGGGTTCGAATCTGGCTCATGCATTTACTCTCTCCTGTTACACAAGTAAAGCTGAACAGAAAAACACCTGGACAATGTTGGTTGGGTTACCAAAGACTACAGAGGGATCATAAGAGTTTTGGAGGAAAGACAAATCTGGATAATTATGTTTGTAAACCAGCACATATATATATATACATGTGTATCATCAATATTATATAATAATTTATCAGTGCTTTCTCATAACATTTGACCCAAAGTGATGGGAGTTGACCAGTGTTATATATACTGTATATGTAGTGCACGCGGCCAAAGATGGAGTCGAGTATAACTCATGGTCAGCTACCGGCACCTCGGGTTAAATGGCTTTGGCTATACCTTTGGAAGGAATTTAATGGAATAAATGTTTAATTACATGATTGTGAATATCATCAAACACACTTTTAGTAAAAGTTTAACCATATAAACTCGCTTGTAATTTGCAGTGCACTGTTTGTCGTGCCATCGTTTATTATGTAATGTATTATCATATTGATGTACTGTTGGGCCGCAAGGCCTAAAGTTAACAAGAGGTCCATGGGCCTTAATGGTCACTTGAGTCCTACAGTATTTATTTTTGTGTTGAAATATGAAGTGGAGATAATGATGTCAATCATCCCTACCAATTTGACTGAAAAATAGTTAAGTATAACGTTAAGTTTAATTTGTCAGGACCACGAATTGATCGTTCCTAGACCGACTTTCCGTTGAACTGGCCCAGTAGAACTTGACTTCAAGTTTGAAATTGTTTTTCAAAATGGCGGCCGTGGCAGCCTTATTGGACTTCTGATCGACCCGAAAAATAAAATAACAACACTTGGTCAGGGACTTGTCAGTAACATTTCCATTAAGTATCAATGAAATCCCTTTCACAGTATTTCAGCTTAAGTTGAAAATGTAAAATGTTAACGGACGACGTTATGTGTTTATACTGTAATACTCTGCTTAAAGCTGTTCCACATTGTTCACAGAAGCAGAGAAAACTTTGCCCTGCCATTTTGACAGCCAAGATGACAAATCAGCTACTATTCTGTCTATGACAACTGAATGCTTGAAAATCAACATCTTGTTGGAAGATTGTCACATGACCATTTATCTGTGAAATGTTTTCCAGACAAATGTATCAATGTTGTATGCCGAAATGGGGAAAACAGCAGAAAATGGTTATTTTAATCAAATATAATAAAAATAGTGCATTTTGCTTACTTATAATTGCATATATATGTATGTAACTGATCATTTGGACAAATAAAATTGGTTATTATATTTTTCTCCCATTCCTTTGCCTGTATGATAGAACCGACGAGAAAGTAGCATTAGAAACAAGAGGCCCATTTCTCTTGTGTGACTTCAAAATGGGACAACAATGTTACATCACAAAATTAGGAAATGTTGATGCCGCATTGTGGAAACTGCCAACGTGATAAAATTTAAATGTCAGAAAGATGGAATTAATATTTCTTTGCAAAGTTTCGTGAAATGGGGTATACTGAATCTTGCCGACTGGTGTGTTTTTGTCTAAAATACTAAGGGAAATACATTTGTATTTTTAAACTTGTAGCCAGTCTAACACCTGTTCATGTTTTCTGTTATGCTGGCGACTGGAATGAGAGAAAAATACTTTTTCATGAACATGGGTGTGGAATAGGAAAATCCCACCCCTTGGGATTTTCGAATTGCTACAAAACCCTTAGCAAACCTCTAAATTTATCCAATTCGAAAAACCACTCAAACTGAATTTCCCTATCCTCCACTCTTGGCATTAAAGAGTTATATGTTCTAGCTATAGTGTGGATAATGGGCCTTGGGAGCAGAATAGAATAATTTTTGCACAAAATCTTATACTAACAATATGTGCTATGATGAAAAAAGCATTTCTTGATTTTGTTAATAAAAATAATCAGACCTTGTGTTGTAGTGTGTTATATAATATACAATAACTGTCGGATCACCGTTTGTTTCCTATGCATTATTTGTTGATGATAAGGGAGACGAGGTTTTACAAGTTTGGTAAATCCCAAAGGGATGCTGACCAAAGTACGACATTGTAATTTTTAATGAATTCATCACCTTTTATACAAGGATTTGCCACACAGAACATGAACACATCGGGCTGTTTATCACATACTTTATTCAGTACTCATCATCATAAAATTAAAAAATTAAATATTTTAAAACAATAACATAAATTCACAACAGTTTACAAAACTTCACACACAGCTACCATGGTAACCTAACTAATTTCACATTTTAAACATTCAGATCCTCCGTCTCAATCTGATCGCATACTATGATATTTGTATCATGTGACTCTACCTTATATAACATTAGCTTTGCTATTGGCTGGAAAATTTGTTTCTCCTGGATAAGAACCTTACCTTAAATCTTCAACTAATGTGCAGAGATGATCCTTTTTACATCATTTAAAAGACTTTCAGGACTTTCTCCACTAACTTTTATGAAATCTTAATCTAGCCCTCAATTTCATTTGCAAACAATAATTTCGTCATCATTTAACAATGATCAATCTTACCAGTTCACTCAATCTCTGTCCATACAACACTAACTAAGCTAGCTCTCGGTCTCAACATACATACAAACTACACTGTGGCTACCCATTACCGTTTTTATCTAGATAAATCTAAAATATATCTCCATTCCTTCAAATTTTACATTTTTATCCCAATCATACTGAAATATTTTACAAAATATAGCACCTTTTACAAAGACATAGCTCCTGAATTCACCAGCGGAATGTGGATTACCGTATTTACCGGTAATAAACCCATGCCTGCTAATAAGCCCACCCCCATAAAGACAGGAGCGCATTAAACAGAAAGGTCTGTACTTGCTCAAGATTTCTCTGTAATCCCCTAGGGTAAGACAGTTGACGTTTCGAAAATACAATACAATGACGGCAGGGGAACAATGTGTCATGACATCCAAACCAGATTTACAGATTACAAATTCTGATAAACAATGTTTTCAAACATATTATTGAAAGAATCATTCCTTATGTTGATGGTATATCGGAGAAATCTTAACCCAATGGGTGAGATTCTTAAATGTATTATAATCCTAGTCTTCAAGCAAATCTCGGAGTAGACAATCACGAATGTCACCCTTCGGGTTAATCAACATTTCTCTCATACCCTCAAGGTAGGGGAAGATTGTTGTAATTCCACATGGCTTAGTAATGAATAAACTGTTGTCACAGGAGAAAGTGTGAACTAAATTTCAAATGTGACAACCACATTTTTTAGTGTTCCAAAATAGCATAGTTACATTTTAAATTAATAAAAATAGAAAATGTGTTACAGATTAAATTCATGCCTATGAACTTCTTTATTTTTATGTGAAAAATTAACTTTATAAAAAGATATATGGTACATAATTTCTGTTCCAATTGCAATTTATTCCCAGATTAAAGAACAAAGATTGAACAGGAAATAACAACTAACAGAGTAACTTATTCAAGACATCAAACATTTCTGTACTCCATGGCCAAATAGCACTGAGACATTTTTCCTGAAATTGAAATAATAATATATATATATACATCATTGAACAGAAAAACAGGAAAGGGGCGAAAAATAGTTCCCGCTATTCCCTTTGAATGACCAGTAACAAGGTCTTGTTTGACCACTACTGGTTCAGACAAATGTGATGTTCGTTTCAAGGTCAATGATCAATGGCTTATTGTCAGAGGGCGGTGACATTATTTGCGAGGTGGGTTGGCGGAACGCTGAACTATGACTACCACTTGGACTGTAAGTTTTGTTGGACGTTACGTCACTAACTCCACCTCTGATCTCCGACTTCTGTGAGCGAGGAGTGATTGTTTGCACTATGTCCGATTTCATGAGGGGCGTACTTGTCTGAACGAGTCCATTTTCTCTTGATTTGCCACCTTTATTTGCTGGAGTATGAAGTGATACTGGTACTGATAATGACCTTATGTGACCCTGAACAGGTGAACTTATCAATGTATTATCAAAGTCAGGGTCGTTTGGTGTGAGTGTGTCGTCGAGGAAAGTTTCATCCTCCTCTGTGGCCATTGCATTTCCCGGCGACGATAATTTCTGTTGGGCGTAGGGACTGTGACGTGAATAACCCCAGGCCTTCGCCTGGTACATGTTAAAACTATAGTCAAACCCAATATCACGCAGACTTTTTTCTGCCATACGAGGATCATCAAAGTCTGCACACTCAGGGACAGGGGCTTGGAAAAAATCTTGAGCCTCTGCATTGGAAGGAATAACACCATCGGAGCTAAAACTCTGATTTCCGTGCTGGACAGAATCTGCAGGTGATTCAGGATTTAACGAATCAAAGTCCTGACTCTCAAACTGATCCTTGTCTATGTTGCTGTTGCGTCTGTCAAAGGTCATGGAGTCCAGAGACACGGAGGAAGGTCGTGTCATCATCTGCCCACGAGTGTAAGACACATACTTTTCATGATTGTTCTTTACATAGTCGTCTGCTTGGGCTCTACCTCCGCTAAGAATGGGTGGAGCACTCTTCCGCCCAGACGGATGAGGGGCTTTATTCCGCAAAAATTCTGGTATCTCTGAATTCTGTGTGTCCAGTCCCCGCTGGTCATCTAGACGACCACTCTGGACTTTGGAAAGCAGGTCCAGAAAACGGTCATCTGTAAATCAGAGAAAGATATCTGTACAACTGCCAAAGAATTGTATTACTTTAACTCAAGGATGTAATTAATGAAACAGAGTTTTTATTTTCCTTTTCCGTTTCTCAAAATCAGGTGTTAATCACATATATTGTGAGGGATTGGTTCAGCTTATTTTTTTAAAATTTCATTCAAAATTAAATTAATCCAACAATTTGAAGCAAAACTTAAGTAACGGTATAAATAATAAGTATATTTAACAAGATGAAACCTTCCATCTTGGGCTTAGCTTTATTTTGATTAACTGCAAAACATACAGTATTCTGATAAAATCGACCATCTTTTGCCGCAGTTGTACTTCAACCTACTGGTCAGAATACTATAATGAGATAAAACCTACCCTCTTGGGTTTCAGCCTTTCGAGTTTGATTCTTCTGTAAGTTAAACGTAACTTTGTGCTTGCTCTTCACTTTGGGCATGTCTGCTACCTTTGCTGCCTGGGACTCTTTTCTCAGGAGGCCAAATAAACCCAAAGAGCGATGATCGCCGCTGCCTTTCCGCGGAACCTGCGGAATAAGATTTAATTACATGACTATACAAACAGGCACAATCTACAGCAGAATTTAAGTGAAAGAATTTAATGAAACATATGAAATATTTTTCTTCATTTTGACCAATCTCCACAACACTTGAAAATTTCCTTCCATCCATTTGCAAAACAACAAGTTACCTCCCTTCCTTCCAAAAATTATAAAAGTCACAACCATTCCTTCAAAAAAAACTCAAATGTACCTTTTGTCACGGTATATGACTTCAGTAACCTCACTTTCATCCACAATGATTAAAGCTACTTCCTTTCTTCACTTCCATGCACCAGACATAAAATCAACCGATAAATTTTGTTCACAAGATATCAAAGTTACTTCCCATCATTCAACTAGCCATTAACATTCCTCCCTTCCAAACATATAGGTTACCTCCCTTTCTTTTCACAAGTATCATTTTAAAAGTTGCCCCCTTTCCTTCTCAAAACACAAAAGTTGTCCCCTTTCCTTCTCAAAACATAAAGTTACCTCCCTTCCTTCTCAAAACACAAAAGTTACCTCCCTTCCTTCTCAAAACACAAAAGTTACCTCCCTTTCTTTTCACAAGTATCATTTTAAAAGTTACCTCCCTTCCTTCTCAAAACACAAAAATTGTCCCCTTTCCTTCTCAAAATACAAATGTTACCCACTTTCCTTCTCAAAACATAAAGTTACCTCCCTTCCTTCTCAAAACACAAAAGTTATCTCCCTTCCTTCTCAAAACACAAAAGTTACCTCCCTTTCTTTCTCAAAACACAAAAGTTACCTCCCTTCCTTCTCAAAACACAAAAGTTACCCCCTTTCCTTCTCAAAACACAAAAGTTACCCCCTTTCCTTCTCAAAACACAAACGTTACCTCCCTTCCTACCATGTAATAAAATGTATTATCTCCCCTTCTAACTCACATATTACAACTGTGCCATTAACCAAAGTGAATGTTCACAAAACTACTCTCCACTCTCCTAAGCTATTGTTTGAACAAAAAGTCCCAGCTACCATTTTAAAAACCTAATATGCCTCAAAAACGTTTTTACCACCATCATGATTTTCAGCTGTTGATTGAACACCGCAAATAGTCTCATCTATTGTTTGCAAAACTCCCATTTATCCCAGCTATCGTCTGAAAATCCCCAACTAGTTACAGCTCTTGTTTGCATAAGTTCAGCAATCTCAGCTAGTGTTTGTAAACTTCCCCATTATCCACAGCTATGGTTTAAAAGTATCCCCATGAGCCACAGCTATGGTTTAAAAGTATCCCTTTTAGTCTCAGCTATGGTTTAAAAGTATCCCCTTTAGCCACAGCTATGGTTTAAAAGTATCCCCATTAGTCTCAGCTATGGTTTAAAAGTATCCCCATTAGTCTCAGCTATGGTTTAAAAGTATCCCCATTAGCCACAGATATGGTTTAAAAGTATCCCCTTTAGCCACAGCTATGGTTTAAACACATCCAGTAGTCTATTCAGTGATCACAAAAATCATCAATCAAATTTCTCAATCACTTCTTTATGTCTAACCAAATATTTGGTTTTACTCTAGTTAATAAACATTATTTGCATCCTCACATCCAAATTCATTCATTGAAGCAAATTAACAATATTTCTTTCATTATCAAAAACGTTATCACAATAGATTGATTATTCAAACAATGGCCGTACCATAAAATATTGTTATAACAGACAGACAGTTCAGTGTGGATATACTCTCTTAATTTATCAAATTGAATATGTCATCATTTATTCTTTAATATGTGAAATGAAATCCAGTTAAAGGACAAAAAAAGATATTATTGCATGTTACACTACAGAAGTCTGAAATATATCTGTACTTTTATGATATAAATCAATCCAGCAAAGGGTTTTGGATCATTATTTGATCTTTACTAAAAGCATCTGATAAGCATTTAAACTTTGAGAAAGATCAGCATTTTAATCCTTGCAGATTATCTAACACTGTTAATCAACTAACGGTACTTGTAGCATTCTTACCTGCTGCAGTAAACCACATGACGGTGGTCTAGGTTGTCTAGGAGCATGCAGTATATTAAAGCTACATGTGTATTGTCTAAGAGTTCTAGTGATCCAGTTATTTAATCATTAAATCAGGACATACATGTGTAAAAGTTTCTACATTTGTAGGTTAACCATCGAAACAAAGTTGATGTTTTTTGTGAAAGAAAAAAATGTGACATCGTTCATAATGCTTGTGTAAAGTTAATATTTGATACAGTCATTAATGTTTGTGTAAGTTACTGTCATTAATGTTCGTGTAAGTTACTGTCATTAATGTTCGTGTAGGTTACTGTCATTGATGTTTGTGTAGGTTACAGTCATTAATGTTTGTGTAGGTTACTGTCATTATTGTTTGTGTAGGTTACTGTCAATGATGTTTGTGTAGGTTACTGTCATTATTGTTTGTGTAGGTTACTGTCAATGATGTTTGTGTAGGGTACTGTCATTAATGTTTGTGAAGGTTACTGTCATTAATGTTTGTGTAAGTTACTGTCATTAATGTTTGTGTAGGGTATTGTCATTAATGTTTGTCTAAGTTTCTGTCATTAATGTTTGTGTAGGTTATAGTCATTAATGTTTGTGTAGGTTACTGTCCTTAATGTTTGTGTAGGTTACTGTCAATGATGTTTGTGTAGGGTACTGTCATTAATGTTTGTGAAGGTTACTGTCATTGATGTTTGTGTAGGTTACTGTCATTACTGTTTGTGTAGGTTACTGTCATTAACGTTTGTGTAGGTTACTGTCATTGATGTTTGTGTAGGTTACTGTCATTACTGTTTGTGTAGGTTACTGTCATTAAGGTTCGTGTAGGTTACTGTCATTAATGTTTGTGTAAGTTGCTGTCCTTATTGTTTGTGTAGGTTACTGTTATTAATGTTCGTGTAAGTTACTGTCATTAATGTTTGTGTAGGTTTCTGTCATTATTGTTCGTGTAGGTTACTGTCATAAATGTTCGTGTAGGTTACTGTCATTATTGTTTGGGTAGGTTACTGTCATTATTGTTTGTGAAGGTTACTGTCATTATTGTTTGTGTACGTTACTGTCAATGATGTTTGTGTAGGTTACTGTCATTATTGTTTGTGTAGGTTACTGTCATTAATGTTTGTGTAGGTTGCTGTCATTATTGTTCGTGTAGGTTACTGTCATTATTGTTTGTGTAGGTTACTGTCATTATTGTTTGTGAAGGTTACTGTCATTATTGTTTGTGTAGGTTACTGTCATTAATGTTTGTGAAGGTTACTGTCATTGATGTTTGTGTAGGTTACTGTCATTAATGTTTGTGTAGGTTATTGTCATTAATGTTTGTCTAAGTTTCTGTCATTAATGTTTGTGTAGGTTACTGTCATTAATGTTTGTGTAGGTTATAGTCATTAATGTTTGTGTAGGTTACTGTCATTGATGTTTGTGTAGGTTACTGTCATTAATGTTTGTGTTGGTTACTGTCATTAATGTTTGTGTAGGTTACTGTCATTAATGTTTCTGTAGGTTACTGTCATTATTGTTTGTGTAGGTTACTGTCATTAATGTTTGTGTAGGTTACTGTCATTGATGTTTGTGAAGGTTACTGTCATTAATGTTTGTGAAGGGTTGCTCTCATTAATGTTCGCATAATGTAATTGTTTGTGAATCAAAGGGATTGTGGGATTGCAAGTACACCAAACAAAAACCTTATCCAGTGCCGATGTGGGGGAGGGGGAATCTGACAATAATAGAAATATGTAACTTTAATCATATGTGTGTTAATATTTAGAGATTATTAGTCACTCACTCACCACATTCTAATTTATTCAGAAGTTGTCAAACCATTACCCATTTCAGCGTTTCTAGAGCTTAAAAGAAATTAAATTGGTTCTTCTATCAAGAAAAAATGAAAAAAGAGCAGAAAAGCCATTCCTGCACTTAAATAAATTCTAAAAATACCCAAAGCAAACTAAAGCCCAGTACTGAGGATAAATATAAAAGTGGATATAAGACATAAAAGCAAAACGCTAATTATTAATGGTTTTCTGTGACGGATAGGTTATAAGCTATGGTCACCATGGAAACCAGATTACAAGAGCTGCAGGGAAAGTCACTAGTTATCACCGCAAAGCAGTTAGGAGCACTACAGAGGCTAACTTACCTGTGGAGAGCTCTCAGGATCTAGAATTCCAAGTTCATCAAAGTTATGAGCCATCTCAGATTTTCCCCTCATTAAATCTTCAAATATGCGATTTGTAATCACATCAAGAGAGGTGCTTTCTTGATCGGAGTTAACATGGAAATCGGGGGGATATTTAACCACTAGCGGTGTCCTTTTAGACGTGGACCGAAACCCCTCATTTCTACTGATGGCTGTTAGGCAAATAAACAAGGGATCAACAGCATGCATATATTAGATGTGTAAGGTTATATAAACCACTGTCAACAAACAGTAAGGCCAAGAAATAGTGGGGTCAAAGAAAGCCTCTTGCCAAAACTTCAATAGTGTTTGGTAAAACGTTTAAAAATTTAATTGTTTCTGATAAATTTTTGTTTGTTCATACAGAGCACAGATGTAAAAAAAAAAAAAATGACAATCAAAAGACCGAGATATGATACGAATTGCCAAATCTGAACTATAATTTCTGAAAGATATTTTCGACACAATTCCTTTGATATATATTTTATGATCTTCCTTCTTTGATAAAAAAAAATAACACTGAAATAGTTGCAGGTTTAAAAAACAACATCAGGCCATTTTCAGTTTGTTGACAGTACAATGAACAGTTAGCTGTACATGCTATATTTATCCTGCAATAAGCCCAGGGCCCCAACACGATCTCTTACCCAAAGTAGGTGGCTGAGCATGTTACAGGACAATGAAATAGTATTTGTTGACATGCATACCGAACTGCAATATATATTGATGGGCTTATTACCAGGCATGGGCTTATTGCCGGACAAATACGGTACATGTACAAAGGTTGCATCATCATAAACAGTACACATGGATGTCAAGACACTGGACACCAAATTACATCTTGTCTATTACATTTTATCTGCTTTTCCAATTTTTGAAAATGTGAATATCCAACCAATTTTTCGAACTTCCTAAGGACATTTTCTTCTTTAAAACAAAAATTTGACAGAACATCATTGCTGTATTGTGCTATACATCGTGAAAAGCTGTCGATAATTATCACTAGTTATAAGTAGCAATCATTCTTCAAAACTGTGATTTATATCAGATTTTCTTATGTTCTCTTAGAGATAAATCAGACTGCAAAGTAATATGAAGTAGTAATTGTAAAAATCTGTTTGACATTTCATTGGCATTTATAAAATTGGTAAAACACAATTCCAAACCATTGGTGTGTTTGTTTTTTAGAAAATATACGTAATCTGCGACAGCAATTTGATTTCCAATCTAACTTGACCTTATCTATAAGCAGGTGCCCTTACTGACTTTATATTTAGTCATTGCACTGGTAATATATTAACACCACGTACATATTTTATTAAAGTTTACAGTTTGAACAGACATCCATGTACATTGTTTTTAGCAACTTCTAAAATCTACAATTAGTTAATAATTGAGAAAAGAGAAAGTGTATGTTTATAATCCAAAATCGTTTTTCTTCAATATTCTATTTCGACTGTTATCCCACATCCATCAAAATTTGTCCCAGTATTTTTCTTGAGCCTAGTGAATTGCAAATTTTATAGCTCAGGAAATAAAAGATTTCGCCACTGATAAGTCTAATGAAATTTCAAATTCTATCTGAAGTTGGGTGTCTGGAGCTTTTCGAGAACAACTTGGAGAGATTATTAAAATGAGATATGGCTCGTAAAATGTTTTGACATTTACTAATGGCCAAAATACATGTCTGTGAGAAAGTGGCTGATTTAACCACACAGCCAGGAAGATTCCATAAATAACTGTCAACTGTTTAACAAGAGGTGGGCTTATTGATGAGCATGGGCCTATCACTGGTTATACAGAGTTAAAAAACAATGAATGAATTTTTGGATATACAATTTTCTTTTTCCTCCTTGTATACAACAGTGCAATATTAGCAAAAGTGTCTGTAAGATTTTAACATCAAACAGATACACACACCTCTGTTATCTTTCAATTTCAAGAAGAACAATATAAAACAAAAAATATTAGTCTGATTATTGATTAACAATTACTCAAAACAATATTAATTATAACGTAAATCATAAACAAACTGAACCTTTAAAATCTGGTTAAAATCATGTTAAAATCTGGTTAAAACATTTAAAATCTGGTTAAAATCTGGACATGTATCCATCAAACAATTCTCCATTCAAACTCAGATTCTATGCTTAAGTGCAACTTCTTCTCCTGGTGAAATGCTGCTTAAATTGCATATTTCCCCAAAGGCCTGGAAGAACTTTGAAGATTTTGAGGGATCTTTTTGGAGAGATTTGGAGTTGAATCATTTTTAAAATATCTTAATTCTTGAAACACTTTATTATCACTATTTAATATCAATTGTCAAGACTTATCTTATCTGACTTTGTATTGTGATTTCAGCATGTATGTAAAAATGAGTTTGAGCACAGAATTAATGAGAATGGATAAATGGATTTGGGTCATGGCAATATAGAGCATAGAGCTGTGTTTCACAGTACTGGGGCAAAGTAGCAGGTCTGAAATTCTTGCTACATATGTAATAACAAGATGGAGAAAATATATAGCATGTTTTAGGAGCAAAAGTCCAAAAAGATATACGGGAAGACTATTTATAGTACTCTAGCTCCATCACTGTATATTGCCGATCACCTGACAACCCCTAGTTTCTACAATGGACTTCCTCCTTCATTGATCAGAGACAGTCCATTGTGTTACTTAGGAGAGAAATAACATGTCAAATTTTTGTTAAATATTTATATTTGTGAGCAGTGTCAATATAACTTTGGGAAAGGTATGCCATCACCTTATTATAAAGCATATATGAATACAATATGACCATATATGGAGTTGTCACAGTACACAAGTTCATGTATCCGTTGATAGCGACAATTTTTTAAAGTTCTTTAAAAGGCCAAAAATTAGAAAGATTACCCATGCCTGGTATTATTTTATTATTGTATTATGTTTTTAAAAGTTTATTTGATACTGTGACAACAAGAATTAAATATAATTGGACTAGCTGTGTGCACTAACCCCCTAATCTCACAAACCCAAGAGTTCCCTCCCCTTATAGCACAGTCAATCTTGATCACAATCTAACTTTGTAATCTTGTCAAAATTCAAAAACAAAAAAATCAAATCTTTTTAAAATGTATTAAATTTGAACACAAAAACATTAGGTTTGAAGTATAAACTTTGAAATACTTTACGTGATTATAAAAAGGAATGTTAAGATAGTTTACAACATACTGCTTTCAAAATGAGAATATGTCTGAATGAATGAGAACAAATTGACTTTCGTGAAAGGAACAAGACCTAAATGATTAGATGCGACCTATTTAAAGAAAAAAAATATGAAAGCTGTAATGGAAGAAAAATGATATTTGAAACTTTTGAATACTTAGCAAATAATTTCAAGGATGGCACTCACGGATTTTAAAAATATGTGTGATGAAAAAATGTGATGAAAAAATATGAAAAAATGGGATGAAAAAATGGGATGAAAAGAAATGAAGATGAAGTTGTTGAAGAGTTGGTGATGACAGATGATGAGGTGGACGATTGTAATGGATGGGTGATACCCTGACGACAGATAATGAGGTGGATGATTGTGATGGATGGGTGATACCCTGACGACAGATAATGAGATGGATGGGTGATACCCTGACGACAGATAATGAGGTGGATGGGTGATACCCTGACGACAGATAATGAGGTGGATGGGTGATACCCTGATGACAGATAATGAGGTGGATGATTGTGATGGATGGGTGATACCCTGACATGTGACAGCTGGTTGTCATGGTGACAAGTTGGTCTGTCCAATGACAACTTACCTAGAACTTCCTCAAGGTGTTTGATGAGCACCCTTTGGTTGTCAATGCTGGACACCTGTGCATCAATGTCTACCGTTCCTGGCTGTCCAGACTAAAACAGACAAAATCATCACAATGTGATTCAAGAACTTTTTCCAAATAAAATGTTGAAACTTCAAATATATTAATAAAATATTTGGTGAATCTAAATAGGGGATAAGCTATTTTTCTTTTTATTTAAAATAAATTTCCATTGAAAGAAAACAAAACTTTCAGATAATGTGACTTACCAGCTGAACACATATGTTGTCGAGCTTGAAGCCATACTTGTTAAGTATAGGTTTGAACACATCTCTGATGGATCGGTTTGGTTTGGCTTTCACTCCTATTGACTTCCTGTTAGGTAAATCCATACGGAACAACACACGTCTCTCAATCATGACCTCTCGTGACCCTAACGTTGATATGTCTTCTGAGAGGTCGAGGGGCTAAAATAGGAAACAATTATCAATCGGCATCTCAGGTATAGCAGGAAGTAACAGGTGTCTATCCAAAACAGCAGGCCACTGATAAACATGTTAAAGACATCTAAATAGAAACGATACAGTCTTCACACTATTCTATTTGATAGAAATTTCAGAAGCAACTAAAGATGCTCAAAAACATTATCAGTTTCAAAAAATAAGCGACAAAGAATGCTTTGTTATACACAATATTAATGAAGCTGGCTCAACATTGTACAACTGTACACAACTTTGGCTTTCGTACAACATGGCTACGAGCCATTACCTTGTCTGAGCCCAAAAGGAACACGTCAACGGCAGCTATAGAAAGGCTGCGTTTGTCGCAAAGCTTGCCGAGAACCGACCGGATACGCTGGCCTGGCTTTGCACACACCACTGTTGTTGAACCGTCTGGTAAAATCACACGACAAAACTTAACGCTGTCATCAGCCTCCTTAGCTTCCTTGGACTGGGAAAGAAAAAAGATAACTAGAGTAAAAAAGTTTTCTTTGCTAGACACATACAACTGCAGATCTATATGAATCATAAGCCTAAAGTTTACTCTCCTTTGTAGTATTGACTGCTAAAGTTGTAGCCTTGTTATCAGAAGGCATCTACTAAAGAGAACAAAACCCGACTAACTACAAAACAAGTTACTTCAATATACTTTAGTGGAAAGACTCAAGGTTACCAGGAACTTAACCTGTGTAACAACATAAAACTTCTAAAAGCAAATATAAATATGTACCAACCCAACCCTACCTTCACAGTGCTTCTCTCAAACCAATTTCTTGCCTCTATATAGTATCTTCCTGACCCAGTTCCTACCTCTTCAGTACTAGCCTGAACCTCCCTGTATACAGTGTCTCCCTGACCTATTTCCTACCTCTTTAGTGCTAGCCTGAACCTCCCTGTATACAGTATCTCCCAGACCCATTTCCTACCTCTTTAGTGCTAGCCTGAACCTCCCTGTATACAGTATCTCCCAGACCCATTTCCTACCTCTTTAGTGCTAGCCTGAACCTCCCTGTATACAGTATCTCCCAGACCCATTTCCTACCTCTTTAGTGCTAGCCTGAACCTCCCTGTATACAGTATCTCCCAGACCCATTTCCTACCTCTTTAGTGCTAGCCTGAACCTCCCTGTATACAGTATCTCCCAGACCCATTTCCTACCTCTTTAGTGCTAGCCTGAACCTCCCTGTATACAGTATCTCCCAGACCCATTTCCTACCTCTTTAGTGCTAGCCTGAACCTCCCTGTATACAGTATCTCCCAGACCCATTTCCTACCTCTTTAGTGCTAGCCTGAACCTCCCTGTATACAGTATCTCCCAGACCCATTTCCTACCTCTTTAGTGCTAGCCTGAACCTCCCTGTATACAGTATCTCCCAGACCCATTTCCTACCTCTTTAGTGCTAGCCTGAACCTCCCTGTATACAGTATCTCCCAGACCCATTTCCTACCTCTTTAGTGCTAGCCTGAACCTCCCTGTATACAGTATCTCCCAGACCCATTTCCTACCTCTTTAGTGCTAGCCTGAACCTCCCTGTATACAGTATCTCCCAGACCCATTTCCTACCTCTTTAGTGCTAGCCTGAACCTCCCTGTATACAGTATCTCCCAGACCCATTTCCTACCTCTTTAGTGCTAGCCTGAACCTCCCTGTATACAGTATCTCCCAGACCCATTTCCTACCTCTTTAGTGCTAGCCTGAACCTCCCTGTATACAGTATCTCCCAGACCCATTTCCTACCTCTTTAGTGCTAGCCTGAACCTCCCTGTATACAGTATCTCCCAGACCCATTTCCTACCTCTTTAGTGCTAGCCTGAACCTCCCTGTATACAGTATCTCCCAGACCCATTTCCTACCTCTTTAGTGCTAGCCTGAACCTCCCTGTATACAGTATCTCCCAGACCCATTTCCTACCTCTTTAGTGCTAGCCTGAACCTCCCTGTATACAGTATCTCCCAGACCCATTTCCTACCTCTTTAGTGCTAGCCTGAACCTCCCTGTATACAGTATCTCCCAGACCCATTTCCTACCTCTTTAGTGCTAGCCTGAACCTCCCTGTATACAGTATCTCCCAGACCCATTTCCTACCTCTTTAGTGCTAGCCTGAACCTCCCTGTATACAGTATCTCCCAGACCCATTTCCTACCTCTTTAGTGCTAGCCTGAACCTCCCTGTATACAGTATCTCCCAGACCCATTTCCTACCTCTTTAGTGCTAGCCTGAACCTCCCTGTATACAGTATCTCCCAGACCCATTTCCTACCTCTTTAGTGCTAGCCTGAACCTCCCTGTATACAGTATCTCCCAGACCCATTTCCTACCTCTTTAGTGCTAGCCTGAACCTCCCTGTATACAGTATCTCCCAGACCCATTTCCTACCTCTTTAGTGCTAGCCTGAACCTCCCTGTATACAGTATCTCCCAGACCCATTTCCTACCTCTTTAGTGCTAGCCTGAACCTCCCTGTATACAGTATCTCCCAGACCCATTTCCTACCTCTTTAGTGCTAGCCTGAACCTCCCTGTATACAGTATCTCCCAGACCCATTTCCTACCTCTTTAGTGCTAGCCTGAACCTCCCTGTATACAGTATCTCCCAGACCCATTTCCTACCTCTTTAGTGCTAGCCTGAACCTCCCTGTATACAGTATCTCCCAGACCCATTTCCTACCTCTTTAGTGCTAGCCTGAACCTCCCTGTATACAGTATCTCCCAGACCCATTTCCTACCTCTTTAGTGCTAGCCTGAACCTCCCTGTATACAGTATCTCCCAGACCCATTTCCTACCTCTTTAGTGCTAGCCTGAACCTCCCTGTATACAGTATCTCCCAGACCCATTTCCTACCTCTTTAGTGCTAGCCTGAACCTCCCTGTATACAGTATCTCCCAGACCCATTTCCTACCTCTTTAGTGCTAGCCTGAACCTCCCTGTATACAGTATCTCCCAGACCCATTTCCTACCTCTTTAGTGCTAGCCTGAACCTCCCTGTATACAGTATCTCCCAGACCCATTTCCTACCTCTTTAGTGCTAGCCTGAACCTCCCTGTATACAGTATCTCCCAGACCCATTTCCTACCTCTTTAGTGCTAGCCTGAACCTCCCTGTATACAGTATCTCCCAGACCCATTTCCTACCTCTTTAGTGCTAGCCTGAACCTCCCTGTATACAGTATCTCCCAGACCCATTTCCTACCTCTTTAGTGCTAGCCTGAACCTCCCTGTATACAGTATCTCCCAGACCCATTTCCTACCTCTTTAGTGCTAGCCTGAACCTCCCTGTATACAGTATCTCCCAGACCCATTTCCTACCTCTTTAGTGCTAGCCTGAACCTCCCTGTATACAGTATCTCCCAGACCCATTTCCTACCTCTTTAGTGCTAGCCTGAACCTCCCTGTATACAGTATCTCCCAGACCCATTTCCTACCTCTTTAGTGCTAGCCTGAACCTCCCTGTATACAGTATCTCCCAGACCCATTTCCTACCTCTTTAGTGCTAGCCTGAACCTCCCTGTATACAGTATCTCCCAGACCCATTTCCTACCTCTTTAGTGCTAGCCTGAACCTCCCTGTATACAGTATCTCCCAGACCCATTTCCTACCTCTTTAGTGCTAGCCTGAACCTCCCTGTATACAGTATCTCCCAGACCCATTTCCTACCTCTTTAGTGCTAGCCTGAACCTCCCTGTATACAGTATCTCCCAGACCCATTTCCTACCTCTTTAGTGCTAGCCTGAACCTCCCTGTATACAGTATCTCCCAGACCCATTTCCTACCTCTTTAGTGCTAGCCTGAACCTCCCTGTATACAGTATCTCCCAGACCCATTTCCTACCTCTTTAGTGCTAGCCTGAACCTCCCTGTATACAGTATCTCCCAGACCCATTTCCTACCTCTTTAGTGCTAGCCTGAACCTCCCTGTATACAGTATCTCCCAGACCCATTTCCTACCTCTTTAGTGCTAGCCTGAACCTCCCTGTATACAGTATCTCCCAGACCCATTTCCTACCTCTTTAGTGCTAGCCTGAACCTCCCTGTATACAGTATCTCCCAGACCCATTTCCTACCTCTTTAGTGCTAGCCTGAACCTCCCTGTATACAGTATCTCCCAGACCCATTTCCTACCTCTTTAGTGCTAGCCTGAACCTCCCTGTATACAGTATCTCCCAGACCCATTTCCTACCTCTTTAGTGCTAGCCTGAACCTCCCTGTATACAGTATCTCCCAGACCCATTTCCTACCTCTTTAGTGCTAGCCTGAACCTCCCTGTATACAGTATCTCCCAGACCCATTTCCTACCTCTTTAGTGCTAGCCTGAACCTCCCTGTATACAGTATCTCCCAGACCCATTTCCTACCTCTTTAGTGCTAGCCTGAACCTCCCTGTATACAGTATCTCCCAGACCCATTTCCTACCTCTTTAGTGCTAGCCTGAACCTCCCTGTATACAGTATCTCCCAGACCCATTTCCTACCTCTTTAGTGCTAGCCTGAACCTCCCTGTATACAGTATCTCCCAGACCCATTTCCTACCTCTTTAGTGCTAGCCTGAACCTCCCTGTATACAGTATCTCCCAGACCCATTTCCTACCTCTTTAGTGCTAGCCTGAACCTCCCTGTATACAGTATCTCCCAGACCCATTTCCTACCTCTTTAGTGCTAGCCTGAACCTCCCTGTATACAGTATCTCCCAGACCCATTTCCTACCTCTTTAGTGCTAGCCTGAACCTCCCTGTATACAGTATCTCCCAGACCCATTTCCTACCTCTTTAGTGCTAGCCTGAACCTCCCTGTATACAGTATCTCCCAGACCCATTTCCTACCTCTTTAGTGCTAGCCTGAACCTCCCTGTATACAGTATCTCCCAGACCCATTTCCTACCTCTTTAGTGCTAGCCTGAACCTCCCTGTATACAGTATCTCCCAGACCCATTTCCTACCTCTTTAGTGCTAGCCTGAACCTCCCTGTATACAGTATCTCCCAGACCCATTTCCTACCTCTTTAGTGCTAGCCTGAACCTCCCTGTATACAGTATCTCCCAGACCCATTTCCTACCTCTTTAGTGCTAGCCTGAACCTCCCTGTATACAGTATCTCCCAGACCCATTTCCTACCTCTTTAGTGCTAGCCTGAACCTCCCTGTATACAGTATCTCCCAGACCCATTTCCTACCTCTTTAGTGCTAGCCTGAACCTCCCTGTATACAGTATCTCCCAGACCCATTTCCTACCTCTTTAGTGCTAGCCTGAACCTCCCTGTATACAGTATCTCCCAGACCCATTTCCTACCTCTTTAGTGCTAGCCTGAACCTCCCTGTATACAGTATCTCCCAGACCCATTTCCTACCTCTTTAGTGCTAGCCTGAACCTCCCTGTATACAGTATCTCCCAGACCCATTTCCTACCTCTTTAGTGCTAGCCTGAACCTCCCTGTATACAGTATCTCCCAGACCCATTTCCTACCTCTTTAGTGCTAGCCTGAACCTCCCTGTATACAGTATCTCCCAGACCCATTTCCTACCTCTTTAGTGCTAGCCTGAACCTCCCTGTATACAGTATCTCCCAGACCCATTTCCTACCTCTTTAGTGCTAGCCTGAACCTCCCTGTATACAGTATCTCCCAGACCCATTTCCTACCTCTTTAGTGCTAGCCTGAACCTCCCTGTATACAGTATCTCCCAGACCCATTTCCTACCTCTTTAGTGCTAGCCTGAACCTCCCTGTATACAGTATCTCCCAGACCCATTTCCTACCTCTTTAGTGCTAGCCTGAACCTCCCTGTATACAGTATCTCCCAGACCCATTTCCTACCTCTTTAGTGCTAGCCTGAACCTCCCTGTATACAGTATCTCCCAGACCCATTTCCTACCTCTTTAGTGCTAGCCTGAACCTCCCTGTATACAGTATCTCCCAGACCCATTTCCTACCTCTTTAGTGCTAGCCTGAACCTCCCTGTATACAGTATCTCCCAGACCCATTTCCTACCTCTTTAGTGCTAGCCTGAACCTCCCTGTATACAGTATCTCCCAGACCCATTTCCTACCTCTTTAGTGCTAGCCTGAACCTCCCTGTATACAGTATCTCCCAGACCCATTTCCTACCTCTTTAGTGCTAGCCTGAACCTCCCTGTATACAGTATCTCCCAGACCCATTTCCTACCTCTTTAGTGCTAGCCTGAACCTCCCTGTATACAGTATCTCCCAGACCCATTTCCTACCTCTTTAGTGCTAGCCTGAACCTCCCTGTATACAGTATCTCCCAGACCCATTTCCTACCTCTTTAGTGCTAGCCTGAACCTCCCTGTATACAGTATCTCCCAGACCCATTTCCTACCTCTTTAGTGCTAGCCTGAACCTCCCTGTATACAGTATCTCCCAGACCCATTTCCTACCTCTTTAGTGCTAGCCTGAACCTCCCTGTATACAGTATCTCCCAGACCCATTTCCTACCTCTTTAGTGCTAGCCTGAACCTCCCTGTATACAGTATCTCCCAGACCCATTTCCTACCTCTTTAGTGCTAGCCTGAACCTCCCTGTATACAGTATCTCCCAGACCCATTTCCTACCTCTTTAGTGCTAGCCTGAACCTCCCTGTATACAGTATCTCCCAGACCCATTTCCTACCTCTTTAGTGCTAGCCTGAACCTCCCTGTATACAGTATCTCCCAGACCCATTTCCTACCTCTTTAGTGCTAGCCTGAACCTCCCTGTATACAGTATCTCCCAGACCCATTTCCTACCTCTTTAGTGCTAGCCTGAACCTCCCTGTATACAGTATCTCCCAGACCCATTTCCTACCTCTTTAGTGCTAGCCTGAACCTCCCTGTATACAGTATCTCCCAGACCCATTTCCTACCTCTTTAGTGCTAGCCTGAACCTCCCTGTATACAGTATCTCCCAGACCCATTTCCTACCTCTTTAGTGCTAGCCTGAACCTCCCTGTATACAGTATCTCCCAGACCCATTTCCTACCTCTTTAGTGCTAGCCTGAACCTCCCTGTATACAGTATCTCCCAGACCCATTTCCTACCTCTTTAGTGCTAGCCTGAACCTCCCTGTATACAGTATCTCCCAGACCCATTTCCTACCTCTTTAGTGCTAGCCTGAACCTCCCTGTATACAGTATCTCCCAGACCCATTTCCTACCTCTTTAGTGCTAGCCTGAACCTCCCTGTATACAGTATCTCCCAGACCCATTTCCTACCTCTTTAGTGCTAGCCTGAACCTCCCTGTATACAGTATCTCCCAGACCCATTTCCTACCTCTTTAGTGCTAGCCTGAACCTCCCTGTATACAGTATCTCCCAGACCCATTTCCTACCTCTTTAGTGCTAGCCTGAACCTCCCTGTATACAGTATCTCCCAGACCCATTTCCTACCTCTTTAGTGCTAGCCTGAACCTCCCTGTATACAGTATCTCCCAGACCCATTTCCTACCTCTTTAGTGCTAGCCTGAACCTCCCTGTATACAGTATCTCCCAGACCCATTTCCTACCTCTTTAGTGCTAGCCTGAACCTCCCTGTATACAGTATCTCCCAGACCCATTTCCTACCTCTTTAGTGCTAGCCTGAACCTCCCTGTATACAGTATCTCCCAGACCCATTTCCTACCTCTTTAGTGCTAGCCTGAACCTCCCTGTATACAGTATCTCCCAGACCCATTTCCTACCTCTTTAGTGCTAGCCTGAACCTCCCTGTATACAGTATCTCCCAGACCCATTTCCTACCTCTTTAGTGCTAGCCTGAACCTCCCTGTATACAGTATCTCCCAGACCCATTTCCTACCTCTTTAGTGCTAGCCTGAACCTCCCTGTATACAGTATCTCCCAGACCCATTTCCTACCTCTTTAGTGCTAGCCTGAACCTCCCTGTATACAGTATCTCCCAGACCCATTTCCTACCTCTTTAGTGCTAGCCTGAACCTCCCTGTATACAGTATCTCCCAGACCCATTTCCTACCTCTTTAGTGCTAGCCTGAACCTCCCTGTATACAGTATCTCCCAGACCCATTTCCTACCTCTTTAGTGCTAGCCTGAACCTCCCTGTATACAGTATCTCCCAGACCCATTTCCTACCTCTTTAGTGCTAGCCTGAACCTCCCTGTATACAGTATCTCCCAGACCCATTTCCTACCTCTTTAGTGCTAGCCTGAACCTCCTTGCGTATAGTACTGAGATCAATCCCGGGTCCTGGTGCTACCTTTTTCTGTGTGCTGGTTGTATTGTTATTTACTTCGGACTCCTTTTGCGTCGTTGTTGATGAAGCTGTTTTGCTGCTGTTTTTCTTCAGATCAGAATCTGATGTGGTTTTCAGGTTATTTTTACTGCTCTCTGTTAAAAGCAACAAGATTAACAAAAACGGTAATGAATCTGTATTTATAAACCCATTAGTTAGCAATGCTAAATAAGCATAGAGACAAACTGTAAATTTGAACATCTTCGACAGGTAACTCATTCACCACTGAAGACACATTTGAATTATTCCAATTCAAAGGTCGGATTAGTTCATTATGAAATTTCAGGGGTGAATGACGGAACTCCTTGTCAACAATTGTGCTATTGATAACTGATTCCACTATATATCACTCACTTTGTCTCCATGGTAACAGAGACCGTCTCCTTTTCTCCTTGTCTTCTGTATCTTTGTTCTTTGCTGCCTTTTTCTTTTCCTCCTTGAGTTCCTTGGCACCCAGGATGCCCTGAAAATCATCCTTAGGTAGACCCAAGGGTTCACCCCCCATCTCCCTCATCAGGTAGGTCTTATAGAGTTCAGACTTCAGGAAACGTGGGTAGCTGTCCTGTTTCATCAGCTTAAAGATCTGTTGAGATAACACACAGTTAAGGTCCAGATACAGCTAGTATTTCTAGGGAATAGGAATTACACAACACTGGGCCCCTGACTTGTATTTCTAGGGAATAGGAATTACACAACACTGGGCCCCTGACTTGTATTTCTAGGGAATAGGAATTACACAACACTGGGCTCCTGACTTGTATTTCTAGGGAACAGGAATTACACAACACTCGGCTCCTGACTTGTATTTCTAGGGAACAGGAATTACACAACACTCGGCTCCTGACTTGTTTTTTTAAGAATGAGGAATAACACAATTCTGTACTCCTGGTTACTACATTCCCTATACACAAGGAGTAACCCTGATTTCTAGATCATATATGTAAGACTTGGCTGATAAGAAAGGTTTATGAACAGATATGACATTGGACAAGTTCACATATTTTTTCTCCTTTAATGATGCGTTTCATTACAAGATCTGTCCATCTTGATGATGTAGCTTGTAACCTTAGCGTGTTAATGTGTTGTCCTACTTACCTCTTGCTGCGGTTTATCAAATGTATGGATGTTTGGATGATCAAGCTGTTTCTCTACCTGTTGCCGAGCAACATGGTCAATGTTAACAGGATCAGATGCTTTTACAGATATATGTTTAGCGAAGATATCCTTGGCCTTTACTTTTCGCTGTAAAAATAAAATGTCATTCTTAAATGTCAAATCCGAAATGGCGACTTGGTGGCCAACTTGTTTTAATGAATACTTCCGAAGTGAAACAGGCAATACCAGACAACTTGATGAAGACAAAATTGGGATAAAATCCTGTAATCCCAATGGTAGCAGAAGGATTTTAAAGGTTTTAGCTCTATTTCCCCTATTGGGCACCACCCCTTTGCCCTGGGGGCCACACCCACTGTTTATACAAAATTGAGTCCCCTTGGGCCAAGGATGCTCCAGACTAAATTGGAATAAATACCCTTTATCCCTACGGAAAAAGAAGGATTTTAAAGTTTTACCTCTATTTCCCCTATTGGGCCCCGCTCCTTTTCCCCTAGGGAGCCACACCCACCGTTTATACAAAATTGAGTGCCCTTGGCCCAAGGATGCTCCAGACCAAATTCAGTTAAAATCCACTAAACCGTTCAGGACTAGTAGCGTTTTAAACGAAAAATTGACGGACGGACGATGTATGCTGTGCTATGGCATATGACTTCTTTTTCTTTCTCTGAATTCTGTCTTGTGAAAACATTTTCTTCTTTTGCAGTGCTTAATATTAACAATTGTCCACATTGTTGTATAATTGGTATTTCATTCAACCCACCTTGTCATTGTCACAAACACTTTTGTACTGCTCACATATTCTCCAAAATATGATATTCTCCTCGCTGAATTCTTTCTTAAGGAATTCCTGAAAGTAAGAAATATTTAATGTAGTTTTTTGCAATTTTAAATGTTGAAAAGTAAAAAGAGAAGATTTGTGTAGAAACCATGTAAACTTTTTATTTACCTGATTTCCCCAGAATTATCATTGAGCTCAGGTGTACTGAGCTGTATATATATATCACGCAAAACATTCTCGAAACAACTGTTTGAGTGAAATACACCTTTTTTATGAGAAAGGGGATTTCTTATGAATTACTTGATAAAGATTCTTATGATACAAGCCTTTTATCTCCAAAAACAGATGCATAAACAATTATTATTTCAACACAGAACAATAAATACCAGGTACAGGAGATTGCAATGTCAAAAGAAATAATTTATGAAAAGGTTTTTCCTTTTGAAATAATTTGGGTATGTTTGCATTTAATTTAATCCTTCAACCTCTATGTAACTTTAGTAGACTCTACCATACATTGATATGGATAAGTTCATTATGGTCTTCAGGGGTGAAAGGGTTAAACATTTTAAGAACAATTTGAAATTAATTATGTAGTTTAAATTTATTTTTTCAATATTTGCAATTCTTAAGAGCTTAACGTGTTGATGATTCTTTCTCTCTTGTATTCTGTTACCATTTCAGAAATATACAAAATATGGTGTTTAGTCCATCAGTAATACTGAACGAGAGGCTCATCAGGACTGTACTTTTGTCACATGAACTAGACAAAAAGTTGAAATGTTTTGCTTATTGGAGAAAATGGTGAAAATGTTATACAGCTACATGTATACGTTACTTTTGGCTTCTCAACATTCCATTTAAATCTTTATTGTAGATAACACTTACTGTGAAAACTGCCAACCCTCCTACATCGCCTAACATTTTCTCAAAACCAACAGCCCATCCTGCAATCCTGCCTATTTCCTCTTCCTCTTTTTCATCCTCGTCCAAATGATCGTTGATGTTGTTGGCACTGCTTGCTGTGGACAGCCGCTGGGACAAGACTTCCTGCTCGATGGCCACAAGTGACTACAACAAAAGAAACATCATATTCTCAAAATAAATAAAGAATATTACATCGTTTGCAAGCTGAATATCAGATAATAATATTTTCCTCTAGTACAGAATCATGGATGATTCACTATATCTAATACCAAAAACCATTTGTTTAACCCTTTCACCACTGTAGACTATAAAAGACTCATCCAGATCAATGCACGGTAGAGTCTATTAAAGTTACATAGGGGTGAAAGGGTTAAACATATTTTATTGATCCAAGATACAAACCTTGGAAAACAAGTTATTTCAACCTTGTAGTCCTCTCTCCAAAGATATTGTAAACAAAATATACGTATAAATTGTTCGGAAAATAGCAGAGTTATAGGAGACGAAATTTATGTAATGTGCTTGTGGTTGGGGTTTAGGGAACAGGAGAATGATTGGGCAGAGAGGGGGATGGAGTGTTGGGGGATGTTTAAGGTACTAGAAAAGAACCATTTGCTTTCTGTTGATCACAATGTCTTGACAAGATGTTGCCACCAGCCGCCTCGTGATTGGCATCACAGTACACAGATACCAGAATACTGAAGTGATGGTGATGGCGGGTGATAGGCATTATACCCAACAGAGTTTAGTAAAAAATATAAACCAGGAGATCAGTTTTACTGTTACTGGTCCTAGAAATATCAACTCACCAAAAACTAATTATTGCTGTCAAACACATGGTATTAACTCATTCACCCCTGATGATACATTTGAACTCTTCCAATTCAAAGGTTGGAATAGTTCATTATGAAGCTTCAGGGGTGAATGAGTTAAACTACTGAAGAGTAGTACAATGTTGATAATAAAGTCAGTCACTGATATTTTAAAACATCAAATATTTGTCAGGTGGATGTTCCCCGAAACATATTAAACCACAGTACCCATGAACATACGTATAAACATACTTAACTACCCAGAACGCACTTAATATCAGTATTCAAAATATATTCAATATCAGTACTCGAAATGAATTTAATTATCTTACCATTACTAATACATGAAAAGATTGGTTAGAGAAAACCAAACTGATGTGTACAGTGAGAATGTTTACTTATAAACTGTGGATAAAATGACACTGTACAAACAAAACAATTACATGGCATCTTCAATGTAAATAAATCATATTAAATAAATCACATTTACATAGTATCTACACTGTAAATAAATCACATTTACATAGTATCTACACTGTAAATCGTACACAATATTTCACAAACAACAAAACAGAATAAAGTATCCGCAATGGCAGTCTTACCCAGCGTCGATGCCGGCGCATTATCCCTCCGACAGGAATCCAACGACAGTCGGTTTTAAGTGTAAAGGTGACCTTTATGTATAATACCCGTAACAGGTAGGTCGTGTTCGTGTAAAAAGCTACTCTTATTTTTCCTCACAACTACCTGAACAGTTTCATATTTCCTCCAAAACTGTATTCTGATTTCCTTTTATAGCCTTTCTAGCTAATGTGCATATCATTTTCCTAACATTAATGATATGAAGGAAGTTGAAATGTTAACAGTATATATTAAATATTGGCAAAATAATCCCTAAACATCTTTTTCCTTATTATTATGAATCACATAAGCAGAATCAGACGATCACAGGCCATCAGCTGTAAATGTCTACTGATGTCATCCAAACCATGCCGAGAACTGGCCAAGAGAAATTAGGGTCTAATTCTGAAGTCACACCAACAAAATGGGCGTAATAATTGCTTGAGATCAGTTTCCTTGTCATCTCCTCAGCAGAGTATCACAGAATCATCAGATGTTGGACACCATCGACACCAAGCCTACAACTGTTGACGATCAATTACAATCCGACTCTAATGTGACGTCAATAGTAAGTGAAAATGAGAGCGTAAATCCGTAGTGTAGAAATTCTACAGTTTGTAGTAGATCAGGGAGACAATAACAACAACATGAGCATTGTTTTGTGATAGATTCACTCCTCACATTTTACCTCCCACCAACTCCCCTGTTATTACTATATATATACAAGTATCACACACTTCCTTTTACAAGGCAATTTTAGTACAGGTGTACTCTACAAATTAATTCCTTTACCAAACCACTACATACTAGATAACTACGCTAATGATACTACGATATTACAACTTGATCGATACTCTGAATCGCCCATTATAAACAACCATCTACATATATTCCTTAGATCCATGATAGGTTAACAATTAAAGATGGTCGGGCGGTGCAGTGCACTGGACAGCGCACTCACCTTTCACCAAGGCGGCCGGGTTCGATTTCCCGTTCAGATGTGAAAAGGTATGGGGTCACTTGCCCGACCATGAGGGTTTTCTCTGGGTACTCCCGTTTCCTCCCACATTAAGACCCCCACACGCTAACATCAGGGAAATGAAATATTTGATTAAGGATTTCTATCACTAAATTAAGGAATGCTTGTAAAATTACTTCTTCATCATGATTACTATATAAGAATGAAAAATAAAATGTAATTTGAAATAAAAACCATCTGCAGTGTGAAAAAGGATGTTTATGTTGGCGAAAGTGCCAACAGTGAGTAGGAATATATTCATTTGACTATACTTATTAACAACTTAAAAATTAATAACACAAAATTTGTGAGAAAACATGTTATGGAAATTTCAACTTTAATTTTAACAATTTTCTATTGCATCCTCTGATCAAGTGGGTTAAGTAATATATGGGTATCATGATATTTTTCATTGCTACTTGAGTCAGTTCCGGGAAAATAAAATATTCTCAAAGATACATAGACTTGCGACTCGAAGACTGAATAATGGGTGTCCATGCACCTCCAGAATACACCTGTAGCATACTATAAGATTAGTAGTCTTGTCCCGTCTCTGTATGATACAGGGACACTTCAATTCTACTCCTTCAGCTTTGGCAAAGCCTTAAAGGATTTTCCTGAGTATTCATCACGCCATTTGACCCCTACAGTGCAGACTGAATACTGCACCGTTTTTTAATTGGATAACAATACATAATTAGCAAAATACAAAGTTAGTTATTCAGCTTAATACAGTTTCTACAAACACCAATTTGGTTTAAGATAGAAACACAAGATGGTAACTGAATTTTATACTATTATTTTGTCAAATAAGAGTAACTTTATTGGACAATTTAGGATTATGCCATAAAATGTCTTGCCCAGGAAGGCTGGCAAATTTAAAGTGTGCAGACACAATTACAGACATATATCTAACAAAACCTTGAAGATACAATGAAACAAGTTCTCAATCAATGAGTAGAATAATGATAATTACTCATTCATGAACATCAAGGAAAGTAACTCTACAAACCGTCTACACATTGTCACAGTAAATCCATATAAAGATATTTGTGTCCATAACTGTCCTTAATTAGGGACAACTTCCTGTACAATGTATGAACAGTTAATCCCTGATTATCACGAGAGAAGAATGTTCCCTAAAGGTTGCGAGATAAAGGGATGGTTCCTTTCTCAGGTTTTCAATAAATGCACAACTTGAGTTTTTCCTTTGAAGTGAATGTTGGCACATCCAAACACAAACAAATACAAGTGACATTCCCCTTTTTACAAACCAATTAATAGTACACACAGATGTAATCCAATGATCGTAGTAATGAGAACAGTAGTTAGACGTAGATAGAACATCATTACATGGTGAAATCTGTCCAATACACATACAGATCGGTTTTATCTCTATCAACCAGAGGGACAGCTATATCCTCCAGGCAAAAATCGTAAATTTATACACATCGACCTGGCGTAATCCAACCATGAATATATTGACAATTAAATTAGTCATAGCTTAGCCAGTCAACCATACAACTAGGTCACAAAATACATCCTTAATAAGAAAATGTCCTAAATAGATTTCAAAGAAATTTATTTCAATGAATATATATGTAATCATATTTTGATTAACCCACAAAAAATGGTTTTGCACCAAATAACCTACAAAATATTGATCTAAGCATGAAATATAGCATCATTTAGGGTTTTTTATCTTTTCTTCTAAGTTAGACAAATGTATTTCTCTTTAAAGTTTCTTTTCTGTTTACTTAAGAAATTTGCACCTTTAAGAAATCAAATCTACAATATACCAGTACTTACAGATTTGGTAACAACTAATAATGTTTGTTAGCTTTTTTCGACATTTTCTTCAGAATTAAAAATCATTCGTTATTAATGAAAGTACCATAACTGTCTAGTGGTACATCAATTAATGTCATACACAGCGAATAAAAAATATTACGGTTTTACTACTGTTTCCCAATTGGAAGGTACTAAAGACATTCCATGGTATATTGCACAGTGTTCGTAACTTATGTGAATTTGTTTCGCTATTTCTCAAGAACCTGCTAGTATAGTGTCTAGTGGGTAATAGACTTAAGAAGCTGTATATTTTTAGATCAGATGTGTATATCTTGTTCAACTATTATGTACCTATCTAAAAAAAAAAAAATCAAATAAACTATACAGATCACCAGGCCTGGGCTATACACACTCAAACATGATTTTAAAGAAGTACACTGATATAATGCATCGACTAATTACATAATGCATCAACTAATTACATAATGCATCGACTAATTACATAATGCAAATTGCATTAGCAGGAACCATTAGGGACGAAACAGAAAATACCCACAAGAATCAAACAGATTTTGATGCATGTTCTATAAAATTTGCCTCAGAATTTTTTTTTGATTTTATCAAAATATTCGTACATTTCATACAGTAATAGGGCCTTATCAATCAAATGACACAAAATAAAATGTATACATAAAATTTAATCCTACAGATCCTAGGTTTCAACTCATACAACTCTCCTAACAGATTTCCTTTTGGCCCAACTTACATAATGAAGGTTTGTGAGACAGGCTGAATTTCGTTTCACCAGTTTCCTGTGAGGAGTATTTTCTCTTGTTTTTGTGTGGCGGTCGTGGCGTTTCCTGAACACTCGGTCGAACTGTTCCTGTCGTTCCAGTGAGGCA